AATATGTCATCAACAGAAATAAGAAAATATGTAAGAAAATGTACTTGAAATAAAATATTTTAAAGTCAATATAACTGGACCATGTTCGCATCAGAGAGGGAGCTGCTTTCCGTTTAATTTTTTTTTTTTTTTTTATTTTTTTTTTTATTTGCATGTTTACAACCCACATCTCATAGTTATCAAGGGCGCCACGAAGCGGAGCATCCTCTCTCAATACAATTTTATTCAAAGAGCACAAATTATGTAACGTCTTACAAACTGATTTTCTCTGGAGATTGTAATATTATAACCAACAAACAATAATCTTTATTTGTAGATTTAACGGACAATCCATATGTAATGGCTCTCATGATGTCCAGAAGTAAGATAAACAAAATTATGCATTCATTTGTAAATCTTACTGTAGAACGGATGTTAATATATATATATATATATATATATATATATATATATATATATATATATATATATATATATATATATATAAAGAGAGAGAGAGAGATAAGAACGTGAAACGAATTCCACCATTGAACATGGCTTCTGATTTCGCTGCCATTGTTACTGTATGCAAAATTCTTTGATAAGACTAAATTGACATTCATTTTTAACACACTGTACTATTATTCCTTAACTATATATATTTCCTTTGTAATTTAGTGATGGGAACACAATCGCCACGGAATCTTTACTCCAACCTGCCTATGATGATGTTGCTAGGGGGTAATGGATTGGACATATTACCAACGGACAACTTATGGTCACTCCTCTTGATGCAGAGTCTCTTTGAACCAGTGCCTCGGATGCCAGTGACAAACTTGCCCTTTATGCTTACTAATTTAGCCACCGGAACTAGCGATGGCATGGGAAAATCTGCGTCTCCCACTAGTTCACCATAAGTCCTCAACAGTCAAGTCATACACTAGTAGTAAATACAGAATTTACAATTGCATTTATTATTATAATATCAAGTTCTGTAATTTTTTTTGTAATCCCACGAAAATATAAAATTACATGTACAATACATGTAACTATGTGCTTCGAATAAAATAAAGTTTTACTCGAAATGACAAGATGTTGAGTTGTTCAATCAGATATACAGTATTTGAAATTATGCAAAAATAGTAATGCTACAGTTTGATCATGATACTTTTAGTGTGGGTGCACCAAGACATGTAACTTGGGGTGTTACAGTTCTGAATTCTTATATCAATGTACAATGTACATACAATAAAAAATTCCAGTTACTGAGTGTAAATAATTGCATTTTATACAAAACATGTTTCATTTGATAAAACTTATTTACATTCGAAAACCTGTTATTCATATTCATAAATCTGGATTTATATTCAAAAACTTGTGATTTGTAACATTGTAATTCATATCTTAAATATTGCGATTCGTAAAATTGAGACTTATGTTTTAAACCTTCTGCTTTATATTCGGTAATTGTTATTTATCATAGTATACAATACTCATGGAATTACTTATAGCACGCCAATGTCCTCAGTCTAGACTATCCCTAATCGTGTGTTTCGACCCCTAACTCGGTATTCTTTCAGGATGGGGATTCCACAGTGGTGATCAATCACTGAACATCGGTTATGAGTTTTCAGCTACTATAGTCTCTTACTTTATATCTAACAACTTACTTTTTCCTTCGCTTGGCCCGTTTTCTGTTCTGCTCCTTTCTGCATCGGTCACTCACTCCTAATGCAGAGAACAACCTCCACACTGCATGACTGTACAAGGACGTCTCTGCAATCAACCTCGACAGAAAAGCTCCATCTTCTGCCTCGGCTCTCGATCCATCAAATCTTCATATTTTGTGTTCTTTCTTTCATTTGCTTTGCCATATTACTCCTCAAATTTGAGCCATGTTTGTCTTTCTCGAGTGTTCGTAATTTTCCAGTAGTATCCTTTCCGTGTTCCAAGATCTTGTCGTCCTACTGCCACTGATCTAACTATGTTGACTTACTTTTTCATCTTTAGAATCTTCCAAAGTCATTACAAGCATAGCTTTGCCAACTTTGAATTCTTCCACTATTGCACTCCTGCTTTACAGCCATATGGGTGTAAAACTTGGAGGAACCCCAAACCGTTTTTAAAGATGATTACTGGTTGTTCTTTCCAGCATCTCGACTAATGTCAAGGTGGTTTAGTTTAAAGTGGCCAAGCTATTCTTAGCAGGAATTCATGTTGGTATATGTATATCTATGCCAAAGCTTTCCTGGTAGATCAGTCTTATCAATGGTCTTCATTCCCTCCGACATCTGCTGTACAATCTTTCTGATATTGATCTTGCTGACCTTGTCAATGAATCATCAATTCACTTTCTTAAGCACTTGATGGGATTGTCGATTATAGATGGAATGACTTTCCTTGCACCTACAATTGATGTTGATGAGTGATCCTTCTTTACTTTTAAATAATTATCAGAGATCTTGATTTCTTCGGTTTGAAAGCCATTTGCCAATGATACTAGATACCTCTCCCAATACGTTTATATATAGATACATGTACATGTATACATACATGTTATAGTGACTTCTGTATCGACATATGGAATAGTTCCATAGGCGTTCGCTAAGTCTACCCATACAACTGTATGGTCTTGTTTACTTTCGCTTCTTGATCAGCTGAGAAATGCTGCTTGTATGTTCAATGCATCACAAAAATCCTAGTACTCTACCCCTTTTATACGTATGAAAAATGTTTTAAAATATAACTAACACTGATCGATCCTAAACAATCTACAAACAATACAAATCTGTGAACAGGGCATCAAACACGGACCCCTGGAAGTTCCAGAGGTTTGATCAGGTGCCTAGGAGGAGTAAGTATCCCCTGTTAACAGGTAACACTACCGTGAACCCTATGTATTGATCAGGAAGACGGAATATTCTGTAGTTAAATTTAGTACAAAAAACAAAGATCTAACAATTGGTATGAAATATGTCAGGCAGAAAACGACTCATTGATTAGATTATATTTGCTAACAATGTCATTATAACGACCATAGAATTATTAAGAAATGCTGACTTTAAACAAGGTTGTTGATATCCCTGTAACATCAACTTATCTGTCAGTGGTCTGCCTCGGTTTAAAAATTGATAAAGCATGCTCTTGAGTATCAAAGAAGTTGGGAGACATGGACACCATATGCAGGTGATAGCGGAATATTACTACATAAATAAGGAAAGTTGACGATGGAAAAGTTGAAGTCATCTCGTTTGTCATACAATTTACATGTAGTTGTTAGTTAGCCCTTATCGTTTATAGTCAGTAAAACTCCAAAGATGAAACCGATATGGCAGACTCAGTGGTGTCATTTATTTCAAGTTCACTGGTATATATCGAGTCGACATATGAATCATTGAAGCTTCAACCTTTAGAGTAGTGAGTACAAGTTGGATTACCAGATGTGGAATTAAAACCAAGTTCTTACAAAATGCAGTTATAATAATGAGCCTTGCAAATTAAGGTCATGTACATGTACTTTAGAATGTAATGTAAATTTCTCGCTGATAGTTTTCCAAGATATTCTCAAAATAAATAAATTAATTAATCAGCCAACATTAATTAACTATTTCAATGACAGAAAAAAGAACGTTTATAAACTTCTGTTGTTCATATTTGGAAGAATATATGGAAGAACTATTTATAAGCTTTGATTGAAGCAAAATTATATTATTATCGTCCTCTACAATATTAATTTCTTATTTAACACTACAAAGTATTTGATTGTACAGAATCCTTTAATCTGAAACAATTTGATGCTTCATTTCTGTCTAATTGATCAAAATGGTTTAAATTACAAATTTATTATAATAACACATTTTAACAGCAAAATAAAATTCTCAAAAATGCAGCTCACATCAATATAACAAAATAATAGTTTTAGCTGGTATTTCCTCAAACTTTGATTCAAATGAGGTTTACAGCATTACTAAGCATTATGAAATCGCAAAAAGGTCCTTTGTAACGTAGGATGTTTTTTGCTTAGGTCTACGTCAAAATTACTCCGAGTTGGATGAAATGGATACCCCCCCCCCCCTAACTTTCCATCCCCTGGGAAAAATTCTTGGATCTGTGCACGCTGTAGTATAATTTTCTTTCACTTTGTCTCATAAACACAGTATCTTTTGCATCAAATGAATTTAGAACGAAAATGATGTTTAAATTGGGCTAAAATATTTATCCTCGGGCTCGGGATTCCTTACAATAACATAGACGTCCTATCAGACCTCACGATCACACTGATTTACAGGTACAGAAACTTTTTCTACTAATTACAACTCATCTGAGCGCAATATTATTCAATAAGTACGTTATGTACATAAATTCAGTTTGTTTAGATACGTAATTGAATATGCATGTAACACGTAGTACCTTAGAATTGGAATTTTCCCGAGTTTTCTCTCTTCTGTAGACCTTGTCGAAACTGGTCACAAGCTGGTTTGATACAAAGTGTTGTAGTGTTTTATGGATCCTCTGATCGTTCGGGATTTTGGTCGATTTTTGCATTTTCTTTGAAAACTGTACATGATTAAGATGGTAATCAGATAAATTCTTAAACGTAGGTGTATTTATCCCCCCCCCCCTTATTTTCTCCGATTTACTTCGAGAATATAGATATCTAAGTAATTTATAAACATGTACATAATGTATATATTATATGATCTTAAAAACATTTTTTTGTTGTTCTTCAAACTTGCATGTGAAAAATGTGCAGAAAATGTATTTTCCTTTTCAACGCAATCTGAAATGTGATACCATATTGGCAATGACTCCATTAAAGACTGTACATGTTAAATACATAATATGATGAGAAAACATATTCATAGCTGTGCAAGTATCAGTTACTCAAAATTTCGAATGTTTACAATTACCTTATTCTTATTAATTTTGAGCTTGTGCCTTTTCTTTCAACACATGTTCAATGTAGCATGAAATATGATTTTTTTCTTAAGCTGATATCAAATTTCAATGTTTTCTACAGATTAAGAAAAACAGATAGCGTCAACTCATGAAGTATTTTAAGGCAGAGCAGAGCAAGACTGGTTCAAATGGAGGGCTTCATAATCTTTAAAGGTGAGTTTCAGGAAATTTTAAAGATTTATGATTGTTGAAAAACATTTTATGAATCTTATGAATTCCCCATACACAAGTTTAAAAAAAATTGAAGACAATAAATGAATTATTTGAAAATCTGAGAAGTGGCTTGATCAATACATTATTACAGAATTTAATCTTTGATTAATAAATAGTAATTTGTAAGTCACAAAAGATATATTGAAAAAAATATATATTGAAAAAAAATATTTAACACTGGTATAGAAAATGGTATTTCTTCATATCTCTTGGGAATAGCATCTTAATTAATCTCATAAAAAGTTTTGAATAGTTGTCAGCTTTTTCTTTGACAAGCAATTTTAAATTACTTTTTTTTAATTGTCGTAGCATTTTTTTCTGTTTCACTATAATGTCTTGAAACAAATACATATGTATAACCAATTTGTTTTTTTTTTCTTCTAGTCCCATAATCCATAATACTATAGTGACTATGAAAAATCACCAAGGATGGTCCTTTCTGAATCAGAAGATAGCTCTGCAGAGTTTGTTTGTGGCTGGGGATCTGCGTTTGTTAATATTACAGTCACTTTTCCCATCAACAAAGTCATGTTCCGCCAGCAACTGTTAGGAGTGCGAACTTTTGCTGCCCTCAGACAACTACAGACTGAAGGATTAAGTAACCTGTACAGGGGATTCTTTCCTCCACTGATACAGAAAACTGCATCAATGACATTGATGTTTGGAATATACTACAAGTCTTGTAATTATTTGAACAAACAATATCCACAGACTCCATATTTTAATAGCATTGTTTCAGCCACCTTTGCTGGGGCACTGGAGGCTCTTTTGCTACCCTTTGAGAGAATTCAAGTACTTATGCAGGATAAAAATTACAACCATCGATTTGAAAATGCGAGACATGCTGCAAAGGAGTTGAGATCCATTTATGGTGTGAAGGAATTTTACAGAGGTGGTTCAGCAATACTTCTTCGGAACTGTGGAAGCAATATTTTATTCTTTCTCGGCAGGGACTATTTAATGAATGCTCTTCCTCATCCTGATACAGTGCTAGAGAGAACTACACAAGATTTTATTTGTGGGGCAGCACTGGGAGCCTTTCTCAGCACGCTGTTCTATCCTGTGAATGTTGTGAAGGTTAAGATGCAGAGTAAGGTCGGGGGAACGTTTGAAGGCCTGGTTCATACCCTCAGAATTGTGCAAGAGGAAAGGAAGCATAGTATCCGCAAACTCTTTCGAGGAGTTCATATCAATTTTACGAGGTCTTTTCTTTCTTGGGGCATTGTAAATGCAACATATGAATTTCTCATGGTTAAGCTTTTTAGTAGGAGCTCTAGAAAAAATAATCATGTTAGCTGATTTATGAATTATTTATCTAGCATCTATAACATATGTAATGCATTTTATGGAATGTGTAATAAAATATTTTATTAGAACTACTGTATTATTGGCAGTTCTTACAAGACGTCTAACATTACATAAGATTTATGAAAATATAGAACTTTACTTACTTTGCATTTATAAATAATGATCTGCAAAATGTAATCATGGAAATGAGACCACAAAGAATAGGAAAAATAAGACTAGTGAAATCATCCATCAATCACCTTTTAGTTGTGTAGATTAAGTAGACATGATTGTATCAAAATTCATAACTTCTTGGCCCAGGTTTCATGCCCCAAAGTGGGGTAACTATGATGATACCCTGTTGATGATTGTGATTATATTTATGTGCATTTAATAAAGAGTCTAATGCCTTAAGATGGGAAAATTTTGAAATTCACATCCCTTGGGAATGAAGTTTATGCCCCAGGCTGATGTTAATTTCTAAAATGCACTAAATCTTATAAAATCTAACCATGTAGAAGCTTATATAATTTTTCCCTAAAGTTGTGACATTTGATGCAAAAGGCCAATCTGCCCAATTCATTGTTTTGTTAGTTTTCCTACTTGTTTATGAAATATTAGATTAATTGCAATGAAGTAATTGAAGCGAATCAGCCTTAAAGTTTATTAATTACTTTATTTACTCCATTTGCCCATAATTTGTTACGTATTGTTGTGTGGTTCCTATTGACAAAACATGACTTCCTTGTGTGCAGACTGTGTATCCTTGCAGGTTTCCTTAAATTGATCCTTGTGCATTTCCATAGGGACAAATTCATAGATTTTATTTGCGTGTAAATTTAAGTTTGTTAAAATTTATATATTTTCACCAAAAAAGAACAAAAACAAACCAAAAAAAATTAATAAATAAAAGGAAATCATGTGTAACTTTTTACCTTCGTTCAGTAATACATACATGTAGTTTGATTGTTTATTTATTTATTTATTTATTTATTTGATTGTTTATTATAAACGGAAATGTTCGACAAAACCAAAGTTTAAACGAGGAAAAGGCCTTGGTCACATTTTCTAGTATTTACCTGAGTATCACAAGTTTTTCAAGCTACATATATAACCTTGTCATTCCTATCTGGGACTAGACTCTTGATTCACGTGACATGAATTTGACGATCCCCAAGATGTGTCCTAAAATATATGCTAAGACAACGCCTAAAGACGTGTTTTAGGAAATTTTCGTAAACATGGACATCCTACTAAAATTTAAAAAATGTTTTAAAGATAAAATGCGTCATTTATATATATATATATATATATATATATATATATATATATATATATATATATATATATATATATATATATATATATATATATATATATATATATATATATATATATATTGTAATTAGAAATTTAGTCCCAACACTGGAGCATGTGAATCTTAGAGACACAAATTTCACAACTTGATAAGGTCTCTTGTCATTATCCATAGGTTTACTTACCAAAAAAAAAAAAATCAAAGATATGCAATATTTTCACCATATGGCCATTTTTGATCAGCTATAGGACATGAACCTGGAACCCAGGAGAAATATATTTTAAAATTTTGGCAGAGAGCTTTCTGCTCATTAAATTTATGGAAAAAAAAAATTACTAGCTGAATGTGTAAGGGTAAGAATTTTTTTTTCTAATACATACAATGAAATTCCAATATACGACCATCTTATCCATCAGTTGGAGGTTAAATTCATATATATATATATATATATATATATATATATATATATATATATATATATATATATATATATATATATATATATATATTGTAATTAGAAATTTAGTCCCAACCCTGGAGCATGTGAATCTTAGAGACACAAATTTCACAACTTGATAAGGTCTCGTGTCATTATCCATAGGTTTACTTACAAAAAAAAAAAAAAAAAAAAAAAAAAAAAAAAAAATCAAAGATATGCAATATTTTCACCATATGGCCATTTTTGATCAGCTATAGGACATGAACCTGGAACCCAGGAGAAATATATTTTAAAATTTTGGCAGAGGGCTTTCTGCTCATTAAATTTATGGAAAAAAAAATAACTAGCTGAATGTGTAAGGGTAAGAATTTTTTTTTCTAATACATACAATGAAATTCCAATATACGACCATCTTATCCATCAGTTGGAGGTTAAATTCATATAGAAAGATAATTCAATCATTTTACAAAACACTGACCAATTAACATTTTTTTTTATGTCGGTCACAAATTTATCGTTTTATCCTCATATTTTCTATAATCTAAAAGATCGATTTCAATTCTAAAACTACAAGTATTTAACCCTAAACACTGTTAAGTTTGCCACACTGGGTATATTGAATAAATATTGTTCCCTGAAAATGTGAAATATTCATGTCGTTAAAGAGAGCATGAGCAGTTACATGTAACTTTCTACCAGAATTCAAATCAAAGTTCAGTCCATGGAGCGGGTCTAAGTTGACTTCATTTATCTTAACAAAAAGTGAACCCCGAACCCAATTGACATAACTTTCATCATAAATTGTAAAGGGTTTAATTCATAATTATTATTTTACAACATTTTGAGTGTTAGATGTCCATGAGTAAAGAATAATTATTCAAAAGTTTTGAAATTTCAAAAGATAACCAATTTGCTCCACATGGGATACCCCCAGGAATCTTGATTATAAGTTAAGAATTTATTTTTTTCTAATAATTATGGAAACTCTTTGCCTGTTAGATATTCAAAAGTAAAGAAGATTTTAAAAGTGTAAAGTAATTTTAAGATATGACTATAACTTACCCTAACAAAAAATACAATAGTTTACTACTAATAGTAAATAAAAGTTTTCAAAGTTATCACTATAGTGTCATAGTGATCACTATAGCAATCAAAGTTTTCAAAGTTATCACTATAGTGTCATAGTGATCACTATAGCAATCAAAGTTTTCAAAGTTATCACTATAGTGTCATAGTGATCACTATAGCAATCAAAGTTTTCAAAGTTATCACTATAGTGTCATAGTGATCACTATAGCAATCAAAGTTTTCAAAGTTATCACTATAGTGTCATAGTGATCACTATAGCAATCAAAGTTTTCAAAATTATCACTATAGTGGATATAGCTATCTCTGTAGTGTCATAGTTATCACTATAGTAAATCAAAGTTTTCAAAGTTATCACTATAGTGTCATAGTGATCACTATAGCAATCAAAGTTTTCAAAGTTATCACTATAGTGTCATAGTGATCACTATAGCAATCAAAGTTTTCAAAGTTATCACTATAGTGTCATAGTGATCACTATAGCAATCAAAGTTTTCAAAGTTATCACTATAGTGTCATAGTGATCACTATAGCAATCAAAGTTTTCAAAGTTATCACTACAGTGTCATAGTGATCACTATAGCAATCAAAGTTTTCAAAATTATCACTATAGTGGATATAGCTATCTCTGTAGTGTCATAGTTATCACTATAGTAAATCAAAGTTTTCAGAATTATCACTATAGTGGATATAGTTATCACTGTAGTGTCATAGTTATCACTGTAGTAAATCAAAGTTTTCAAATTTATCACTATAGCAAATTAAAGTGTCAAAATGATAACTTTGGTAAATCAAAGATTTATCACAATCTATACATGTACAATGTTCTTTTTTAGAAGTGTCAATTAATTTCAAATTAGTTGCACAACATAGATAATATCAAGTTTTACAGATTTTCTCATTTTACCAAAGTTATCTTTCGATGTATTGTATTTCAAATAATTCCATGCAGGGTTCATACACTACAATTTATTTTAAACTTTTTTTTAGTGATTTTTTTTCAAACCTCATGTTTTTCAATGACCTCAACTGGCTTAACTTTTCTAAACTGAATATTGTTTGGCTTTCAACTTACATGTTCTTTTTTATATTAGTAAATCACATTATATTAATAGCATTAAGTATATCAAACAAGACCAGGCTTTTTGATATCATTGACAGCTGCTTTTTCAATAAGATTGGAACTCGTAAATTTACTTACCTTGTCATTGGTCATTTGCAAAATTATTATGTTAAAACATTTTGATTGTACACACAAGCGTTCTGAAGTTGATGTTAAAAAGATGTTTGAGTTTCTGATTGACAATATCTATGTGGTTTTTGGAGACCAGGTCTTCCAACAATCTATTGGAATTCCCATGGGTACCGTTATTAGCAGACCTATTTTTGTACTCATATGAAGCAGAATTTGTTCAAAATCTTACACGTGAAATGAAGAAAACACTTTCTGTGGCCTTCAACTCGACATTTAGATATATTGACTACGTATACGTATTGTCAATTAACAATGGCTATTTCCATTCTTATGTCGATACGATATTTCCCGGTGAGCTTGAAATAAAAGATACCACAGAGTCTGACACATCTGTTTCATATTTGAATATTTTACTAGAAAAGGACGTTGATGGTAATCTAACAACCAAGCTTTATGATAAACGTGATGATTTTAACTTTTCAATCGTCAACTTCCCTTACTTATACAACAATATACCTTCATCACCTGCATACGGTGTTTATATCTCTCAGTTAGTTCGATACGCTAGAGCATGCTCTACGTATGAATAATTTGTAAAACGAGGTAGGTTATTGACAAACAAGTTGATGAAACAAGAATATCAGCAGTTTCGTTTAAAGTCATCATTTCGTAAATTCTGTGGTCGATACAATGACCTTGTCAGCAAATACAATTTACCATTAAGTCAAATACTGACTGACGTTTTTCATACTAATTGTTAGACCATTATTTACACACTGAATTGTCGATGGATTTTCGCGTTATTTTCCGATCATGACAAGGAGCACACGGCGGGCGTGACCGGTCGGCAGGGGATACTCACTCCTCCATGGCACCTGATCCGACCACTGATGTTTAGAGGTCAGTGTTTGCTCTGCTCCTCTTTTGTAATGTTAAATGGACTTTTAAGCTCGAATACTGTTCGTTATCTCCGCATATTTCATTGAGTTATCATCATATATAAAGCGATATAAAGAATATTAGATTGAATACCCTAGTAAATCAAAGTTTTCATAGTGATCACTAAAGTGTTTCAAAGTTTTCATATTTATCACTATAGTATCATAGTGATCATTATAGTGATAAGTTTTCATAGTTATCACCGTAGTAAATCAAAGTATCAAGGTTATCACTTATAGTTAACTATAGTTTTCATAGTGTCAGAGTTATCATTATGGTTAACTATAGTAAACTATAGTTTACTATAATATTTTTTTCTAAGGGTATAGCTCAATCCTGGAAAAATACAATTTAAAAGCAATACAACTCAAGAGCAGAGCAAACACGGACTGTGCCATTAAAAAGTAAGCATCCCCTGTCAATTTGTCACATCCGCCTTGAGCCCTTTGCCTTCATCGTTCTTAGACAAATCAGTTTGCAAATAATGGCCTAACAATTTGTATTACGTCAGTAAGCCCAACTACAGACTGTATTTGCAAAAATGGTCATTGTAAAGAGCATAAAATTTGCCAAATGCTGACTTTAAATGAGATTATTGATACCCTTATGACATCAACTAATTTCTCAATAGCTGCCTCGGTTAAGAAATTGATTGTACACAGAGTATGTTATTGCGTATCGAATAAACTGGGAAACATAAACAACATATGCAGGTGATATTGGTATTTTGTTACATAAATAAGGAAAAATTTCGACAAAAATTTGAAGTTATCATGTTCAGTATAAAGGTTTGTTGTTAGTTTGCCATTAATGTTTTTAATTTCGAGCTCATGAATGAAGATAAATATTGTTAACTGATAATTCATATTCATAAGATTAAAAAAAGCAGGTCGGCTCGTAAAGGGGTGCAATGATTACCTCTGCATTGGAAACCCCACAGATGTTGGAAGTCAGAATTCCAAAGACTGGATAGGTTTTGTCAATGAGAAAGTCCTGTATCTTTAAATATTAAATTCAGAATACTTTTTATGTAGAATCATAAAGATTTTATACGTCTGTGATCTTGTTCCTTTTTATTGAAGAAGCAGTTGTCTATGAATTCAAATAGACCGGTAAATAACCTATAGAAGTGTTTTTACCAAACAATAAATTTCAATAATCAATGATTACATCGAAAATAATGATATACAGGTTATGATAAATTCTGATTACAATTTGAATATTGATTTGTCCTTATAACGATAATTACAGCTAATGTATTTGATTACTAAAATAAACTTTCTTCTTCTTTTTTTTTTAAGTCTGAACATCGTAAATAATAAACACAATGCATAAGAATCTTTGTGAAATTATTTTGCAGTTCAGTCTAATATTACAGTTATAGTAAAAGAACTTTAAAGTATGTTTTCTTCAACTTTTTAAAAAAATTATTTTTTAAGGTTAAAAAAGTATGATTTCTTTAAAACTGAAATAAGAAATAAAAATAAATACAGAAAATGTTGTGTAAATAGGTATAATTTAAGCAGTTGTTAAGTTTCTTAAAACAATCTCACTTCGAATTGACTGCACATTGAATTGCTCGTGTCAGATTTTATACATGGCCAGTATGAAATGCACAGAGACAATTGTTTATTCATTGTGCAGTAGTTTAAGAAAAGAAATATAACACATTCATTAAAATACTATTCTGAATGTTTGGGCTAATGATAAGTAAACTTTGTTTTTTGACACTTGAAATGAAATGATTTCTTAGAAAATTTTTCTTTCTAGGATATAATTGAAACAAAAGTAACCGATAAGTTTTTCGTAATTTTATTTTTGATTTTTTTGTACAACAATTAATTTTTAAGAAGTATTGTCCATGATATTTCAAATTAAAAAAATTATTAAACCTACATTTACCTAACCAAAACATAGAAAATGTTGCTGTCCTGAGATTAACAAAGAAAATGAGATGAGATAGCTGCTACGCCATTTTGTTTTTCATGGGAAAAAAGAACATCTATGTTTTGAAATCTTCCCCTCTTTTCTTTTAAATTTTAAGCTCTTTTTATTTCCAAGTTCACCGCGGGTCATCGTACGTAGAATATTTCCCAGTCTTTTCTATGGCAAGCCGAGATCAAATTGAGCGATAAAGTAATCTCATCATAGAAATGTATCACGACGTAATTTTACATCACTCTGAGAAACACGTGGATATTTTTAAGTAGGAATTGTAAAAATGGAAGCGATTGGCTGACTCGTTTAATTTTCATGTCACGAAGAACTGGAAACTAACCCCTGACACCAACAACTGATAACTCCGAAGAAATTAACTGTTGCCTGTTTCTTGAACAGGAGAGCAGCTTTTCATAAGCCTGTGTCGCAGGCATAAGCATTGCCCATATAACCACATTATTATGTATATTCCTTTTTGATGCATTAGACAGTAAAATTTTGCAAAATGAAATCGTACATATGTGTGCGATGGGGAGCGCTTATGTTAATTTCATGGATGGTCAGTGCAGCTGAAATTGATTATGCCAGAAACGGTGAGTATTTCTTCTCACTTTATAATCTGACACTAGTAATATGTTAAATCATTAAAAGTTATATAGCTGAGAGGAAATGCTCAACGTGAAAAAAAAAACATACAAGCATTTTTTTTGTAACATCATATTTATATTGGTATCGATGTTTTATGCAATATATATTCTTTTACTGATGTGAGAGACTGCAAATTTAAAAAAAAAAATGAATGTTGTGATCCGAGTTCCCAAGAGCATGCAAAATCTGCAATAATAGATCTTTCAAAATCGTCTTTGCGCTAAATAAACAGTTTTGGATCATATTTAAGTAAAGAAACAAAAGAATAAATGAATATAAATAAATATTGCAGAATAAGAATTTCGGGTTTTCATTTCTACAGCATAATATTTTTATATATTGCTTAAAAGTATCTTTTGCATATATTATATAGAGTATTCCATCTTAAAATTTATGCATCGTTATGCAATATGATCTCTAATTTACGTATGTTGGTACATTTGAAAAATAGAATAAGAGACGGTGCTAAAACGGCATTGAAAACGGTTATTTTATGTATTTTTTCCTCCACATTTTATACCCATTATTACGTCACTTGTTGGCTTTGTTACAACCTTTAGATAATTAAAAGTTTTAAAGTATTGTGAACAAAAAATAACTGTTGAGCATAAGTTAAAATTGCTTATAGCTGAACGGTCGACTCTGCAACACCAGAGGCGCCGCGCACTAAATGAGTTTTACACCCCCCCCCCCCTTTTGTTATTTTTTGCTGACGTAAACAAAAAATACAGAGACTGTAACCGTTTATCCTATCTGATCTTAATGATAAGAAATAAAAGGAATACAAGTATTGAGAACTGATTTTCTGCTTCTTTGATCAAAACAAAGAATCTTTAAGCAGATTTTCATTACGGTGATCATTGTTTGCCTGTATGATAACAAAAACTTGGAGAGTAGTTTGACACGCCATCTTGAAAGATGTGTGTATCCTGTATGAAATAATACAAAAACACAGATAAAGGAATGAAAATACATTTAGCTATTTTAAAACTTTTTTTTCCAAAAAATATGTACAGTACAATTAAGTTGTACCATACACTTTGAATTCAAAATACTCAAAAATTACAGAAAAAAACATGTCTTTTGAAGGAATACCAGAAGGTTGTACCTACCGTGGACAATTCTTTGCGATTGGAGATACATTTATTCCTGACCCCATGATTGCTCCATGCGTAGAACACATCTGTGTTAAAGGAAATGATGGACCTGTTCAACGATTTCACCAAAATATTACCTGCCAGGATATCCAATGTCCCCTAGGACAACATCCAATTCTAGAAATGGGAAAATGTTGTCCAGAGAGGTGTGAAGGTAAGAAAAAAGTTATGGTCAACAGGTATACAACATGTTTATTTCATTTGTTAGCAAATATTTTTTCTTTTGCAAATAAAGGAGGTGCAATGTGAATTTAATCTTACATTTTCTGATATCTATTTGATGTTCATCTGTTATTGTAAAACAAGAAAACGATTTCAAAAGAAATATATCACTAGATCAAGTGTTTGTATGCTACATAATATGAAATCATTATTTGAAATGCACTATCTCTGCCTGTTACAAAATCGTTTCATCTGGACATACAAATGTAACTCTTCAACCCTAGACTGGAATAGATTCAAGCTGTAGTGTGTTGTACCCTTCCTAAAGGTGCCATAATCCAAACCAAAGATCATATCTCAAAAGTCAGGTCTGGCAGACAGTAAAATTTTTTCCTGGCCATTACTCTTATAAACTTTTTATTAGATTGAGTTTAGTCTTAAGAATTCTGTTTCATTTGATAAAAAAATATGTCACGATTTTGACTTTGGTCATGACTTATACTGGTTAAATAAATGGACAATAGGATAGTGAAATGATGTCCAGGATATGTCATTGGTATATATTCAAACTTGAACACGTTGTTTCTGATGTACATGTACATAGATTTGTCATGCAGGACCTGATTAGACTGAAGGTCATAACATTAGAGTCAAGGTCACTGTGGGTATATTTTGGATAGTAAAACTGTTACGGGCCAGTGCAAACCTTTGAGACGTCAGTTGAAAGGAATTTTAATGTGTAATTGTCCCAAAAAATTAAGTTTTTGTATGCGTTTCAGTCATAAAACATTTGAAATTTGTACAACAAAGCAAAAACTTAAAAGACTGGGGGAAAAAATTGAAGCACATTCGAATCGTAGCATGTTGATTTTAGTCAATTCATGATTTTGAACCAAAACACAAAATCGTCCTAAGTCGAAATTGTGATTTTGGTTGGATCGACCGATGTCAGCAGACTTTAATTGCTCTATTATTATACCCTTCGCTTGAATAGCGGGGTGGTATAATGATGGAGTGTCCGACCTTCCGTACGTCCTCCAATATATGCCTTTCCGTACGTCCGTATCACTTTGGGGTATACCATTTCTTATCCGCAACTCCTCCTATACCACTGAATAAATTTAATCAGACTTTCACAAAATCTTTATTACATCGTGCCATTGTGCATCTCCTATGTTATTTTTCGAACGGTTAGATATCTTGGATTTGAATTTCCCAAAGCAAAACTTGGAAACTGCCATCTTTCTTTTACACGGTGTAGCCATTTCTTATCTCTTATCCGCAACTCATCCAATCCCATTGAAAAAATAATTGAAACTTTCACAGAATTTTTATTACATTAATCCATCGTGCACCTCTTATTTTTGTTTTGATCGGACAAATATTTTGGGTTTGCCAGCAAAACCTGGACACTGTCATTCTTTTTATAATATTTGGGATACCCATCTCTTATCCGAAACTCTTCCTATCACAAGATGAAACACTTCCTTTAAGTTTGGCTTAATGGTGGCTTATAGGTCCTTAATGATGGTTTAATGGTTGTCTTTAAGTCACCATTAAGCACCTTTAAGCTACATTTAAGTAATAAATACACCACCATTAAGTAACCATTAAGCCATCTCAAAGTCCTTAATGGATGCTTAAAGGTAGCTTAATGGTGGCTTATAGGTGCTTAGTGGTAGCTTCTAGACAATCATTAAGTCACCATTAAGCCACCATTAAGCCAGACTTATAGGTGCTTAATGTCCAAACTCCATTAAGCTACCATTAAACCACCTTTAAGCCACCATTAAGTCACCATTACGCAGTCGATAAAACTGCTTTTACGGGTTAAATATAATTTTTATAATGATTTCTTCACAAAAATTATAAATGTCGAGTTTATACATTTGTTAATTCAGCGAAAATAATGTAAAAGAAAGAAAATTGAAAAAAAAATAAATGAAAAAAAAGCATTCCCAACAGGATTCGATCCCACGACCTTCTGCTTGGAGGGCGAACGCTTTAACTACTGAGCTATCGAAGCTGTTGAAATTGGTATGAAATATTAAACCTTTATTTTTAACAAAACTTGTTTGGAATGGTTACAGGTACCGTACATGTTTTTTTTTCTGATGTTTATATTTATTAATCAATAATACGAATAATTATATTTATATATATGTATATATTTTAAAAAAGAATTTTTTGAAATTTTTTGATAAAGTTTTATATTACGTTAATATTTCTTAACCGTGGACCGGAGTTCGGTGTGATGGTGTGAAACAACTTTTTGATTTTAAGTAACTGAATTCCTCGTTCTGTTATTCGCCGATTTATAAGCATGAAAAGATTGAAATTCCACAGATATAACAAAATTTTGTTATTAAAAAGGAATATATCATCGAAAGAGAACGATTGGGAAAAAAAACAGATTATAGCTCTTATAAATATGCTGCGGATATTTACGATTTTGACAATCTTTGCGTAACAATTAAGTTATAAAATATTTTTGTAACATATCTTCAGCTTTAATTCTTTTTATATCATTATGGGTATCAAAATAATTGTCTTTTTGTGTATAATCATAATTTCTAATTTGTTATATGCTTGCGTAAATTTTAAGTTTTGTTAAAAATAGATCATCAAAATCGATCACTGTACGTTCCCGTGTATAGTTTCCTGTTAATTGACCGGGGACTGGTGGGGACACCTAATTAAGGTCTATTGTCTAACTTGTCGATATACTGTACACTGATTATTTTACCCCGCTTCTCAATGTGTATAAATCTGGTCGGATACCCTGTTTAATCTGATCGGCTGTTCTTCTGTAAATTGATTTTGAAATAACAATCATTGAAGACCGACTATATTTTGAACAATTCTTACTTCTGCATTATTTTAAATAAATTCTTACTTCTGCAGTATTTTAAATAAATTCTTACTTCTGCAGTATTTTAAAAGAAAGGAAAAAATAATGGCACTTAACCACGAATTAATTCAAATTATTCATGAATTAATTCAAAGGTTGGCACTATAATCTATACCTATATATTTTTTTTATATTTTAAACTTTTCTCTACCCAAAGAAAAATTAAGAGACAGAGATATTCCAGAAGAAAATGACTCTAATTACATTTCCTATGAATTCGGCAGTGGAACGTGGCTCTCCAAACACGAAAGAAAAATATGTGATTTTTTTAAAAAAATTAATATATATTATGTATTTATGGATAAAAATAATTTTAAAACAAGTATTCAAACAAACTGATTTTAGGGAGCGAAAATTTTAAGGCATTTGATGAAGCTGTTCCCAGTTCCCGAGTTTATACGCATTGACAAAGATGTTAGAAATAGCGAGATAAAAATTATGAATTGAATAAGTATTTGCGGAAATGATACTGAAACAACTTCAAACTTAACAAGTTAGTTTAAAGACTTGATACTGGATGCATTAAGGTGGTTTAATTAAGTTTGGACATTAAGTCACCATTAAGCTGCAGCTTAAAGGTGGCTTAATGGTAGCTTAATGAAGTTTGGACATTAAGCACCTAGAAGCTGCAGCTTAATGGTGGCTTAATGGTGGCTTAAAGGAATTAACTTCTATAAGCCACCATTAAGCTACCATTAAGCCACCATTAAGCGATTGCTTAAAGATGGTCTTTCGTCCTGTGTATACCACTGAATAAACTTTAATCAGACTTGTACAGGATTTGTTTTACATAGTGCCATTGTACACCTCTTTTTATGTTTGGATCGAACAGATATTTGGGGGTTTCCCATTGCAAAACATAGACTTTGCCATTATACTCATATGGAAGTGGGGTATTATTTTGTGAGCTGTGTGCCCACAGTAACTCTTGTATCTTAAAATAACTTTCCCCCCAAAAAATTAATATTTTATTATCTTTCAATTTTTACTGTGGCAAAGTAATATTTATTGTAAGATTCTAAAACTATGTTATTTCGAAGTAATTTTCATTTCAACATTTTTATTATGTTTGTAATTTAACTTCATACTGCATTTAAATTTATCATGATCGACCATGTGATTACTTACAAGATTACAATATACATGTATAGTATATACACTGTACTAAATCACTCAATCTGTTTGAATGGTGTTCAATTTTTGGAAGCACAAAGATTACAGTTATTATTTTTCGCTGACAATGTCACGCGTTGTTTCAAACAAATAAACTACGTAAATTACAATTTAGAAAATATTAATGTTGTGGTCATTGAACATTAGAAATAATTAAACAAAATTATAAATACAACTTGTTTAAATTTTACAGTGATACCTCTGGTCCAGGGAGAAGCTGCAAAGGTAAAAAAAAATTATTTTTCTTTTAAACAGCAGTACTACTCTTGTTATATTCAGATTTGAAATCTATAAAGAAAGACAATCTGGAAAAATCGTGTTCTGAAAACGAAATAAATCATTTTATTAATTTTTTTTATCGTGTAGATAATAACGATTTGCGTTATCTTTTTATACACTTGATCTGAATATATTCGTTTTTATGTAGTTCAAGCAACAGGAAATGTTGGTGGTCGCCGATAAAAGTGGACTTGGTGCTATGGTGGGAAAAGATGCACTAGTAGTTTCCGACGAAAAAGCCGGCGGTGCCGTTACGGGTCCCTTTGCCACCTATAATGGGGTAGGAAATGCTTTTGAGAAGTGTTTCAAAGCCAACATAAAGGCAGACGGTTTGAAATCGGTCTTGCGATTTCATGTTGAAAACAATTTTAACTGTTTTGTTTCAAGTTTCCTCATTTCAAAAATTCTACAGATTTTTTTCCACTCGTTAAATTTTTAAAGTTGGTTTTTCTTGTCAAAGAACAACATATTTTTCTATGTTTCTCTTTTGGCTTCACCATGGACACTAAAATACATTCAGAAGTATAGAAGCATCATACTAGCCATACAAATAGAATATGAACATTATGATAAAATAAGTAAAGCGTAGTATCATGCTTAGAGACGATCAAAATTCAATGTAAGAGAAGCTTTCTCAAAAATTAATTGTAGCGTAGTTCCTCGTCAGATCAATGTGAAAGAAGCATTTATTTATTTCTTAACTAACTATAAGTCAGTCACATTTACAAAGTAAAAAAACACAAGATACCATAATATAGAGCTTCACTTAGTGGATAGTTAAGTTTTTTTTAGTTATATCAATATACCTTATAATAGATTTAGTACAAACAGACTAAGTGTTTAGTTAGAAATAATACACACAAAAAAAAAATTGCACGGGATTTCACGTAAAACAAATCAAATCGTGTTTATATTTACAGATGGGGATGCCTGGACCACGAGGGCCCCAAGGCCCACCTGGACAACCTGTAAGCCTTTTAACAAATAAAATATGTTTAAATAATTACATGTCTTTTCATGTTATATCTTTACATGTCCGAGAGTATATAAACTTTGTAAAATGTGTTTAATTTGAACTATTAAGGGAATTCCTGGATTTCCCGGCCCACGTGGAGATGTTGGAGAACCTGGACCGAGCGGTCCCCCAGGACCAAGGGGATTCCCTGGACCACCAGGGCAAACTGGAAACGATGTAAGTTAAAAAAACAGCTCCAGTGTGGAACATGACTTTGATAAGGGATAATGTTTTTGATATAGACAAAATAATTTCGGATATAAAACAAATTTCGGATATAAAATAAATATGATATTAATTGAAATCGGATTTAAAACAAATATTGGATATTAATTGTGGTTTCAAGACACTCGTACTATTGCGCGTGTTCACTATCACCATAAGTTATAAACTTTTATAATACTGAACTTCTTTTTTTTTTAAATCTTGATAGGGTGATGAAGGACTTCCGGGAGAACAGGGTCCTATGGGACCTATCGGAGAACCAGTAAGTTGCTTCTGGAAAAATATCCATATCTATATCATGTGAGTTTAATTATTTGACGGATCGGTTGCTATACCTTTGTGCCTTTGTAAATTTTTACCCTATTTTTAGGGCACACCAGGAAACCCAGGAATGCCAGGCATGCCGGGAATGAAAGGTCATAGGGTCAGTATAGATTTTATTATGTTAATTTTTAATATTAGAGAGAAAGGATGAGAGTTGTGTTAAAATTGTCTGTATGATTAATTTTTGTTGTAGGGAATGCCTGGAAGATCTGGCGCACCAGGAGAGATTGGTAAAACTGGAGATAAGGTGAGAATCGAAGCTTTCAATTGTATCCAGTTGTCTAAACGTGGAAGTCATGTTTCTCATGAATTTCATGCAGATTTTAAAGAACTTTTAAGTTGTTTTTAGACTTCAGTTGACACGAAATAAATTCGTTTAGAATTTGAGAATTTTGAAAAAAGAAATATACATGTAATACCATATCATGTCTGCATAATTTTATTTCTCCTGAGAATAGAACTTTTATCTCAGGGCGAAACTTTGATGTGGATTTGGATGTATGAATGATTTATTCTTTTGAAAAAACAACTTGTATCAGAATCAAACCTTTGCTCTCTCTATGATTAAATACATGTATTATGCTTTTCTGTATTTTGCTTCTATGATTATATTATCATTTTTCTGCCTTTCTTAGGGACCAGTAGGACCCGTGGGACCAACTGGAGCTATTGGAGTGATGGGTCCTCCGGGTCAGCCCGGAGAGCGGGGCCGTGATGGACCAGAAGGAACACCGGTATGTGCACTGAAGTTCCTCCTTTAGCCAATTACTTTGCAATTTATTCAAATGAAATTGAAACTAAAAAGGATATTATTATTATTATTATTATTAACTGTAAAAGGATAATATTATAAAAGAAGTTTTTTTTAATTTATGAAACAACCAAATTATCACATTTTTCCACGATTATACATTATGAAAATTACTGTCGACAAAAATATATTTCAAAAAATAGTTTTTTAAGCTTTCAGTTGAGCTTCATTCTAAATTTAAAAGTTAATAAAGCACTGTTGACCATAAAATGTATATTGTGTTGAACTTGAAAGTTAAAGATCCCTTCTGATATGCTTATGAGTTTGTTTCTAATACATTTATTTTTAATTATTGACTGATGCGTTCGTAATTCTACAGGGTCTTCGAGGATTGGATGGCAACCCAGGTGAACAAGGTCCACCAGGATCAATCGGAGCGCCGGGTAGTCCTGGATTCCCAGGCAGCATGGGAGCAAAGGTCAGTGTTAAATAAAGAAATACTAAAAACCCCAGTTAGTTATCTACTAAATCAGAGTCTGTAAATATCTTTTTTAATATTTGTATATTGGATTTGAAAACGATAGAGATTGTAAATAGCAGTCATTCTTGTTATTTAGGGTGATTCTGGTCAACCTGGACAAAGAGGAGAATTAGGAATGACAGGACCCCCAGGAGTAAACGGACGTCAGGGACCCCCAGGAGAACCAGGTCGCCCAGGTGCACCAGGCAAAGATGGTGAAACTGGACCCAAAGGAGATATTGTAAATGGATCAAATTTAACTAAACATTATTGTAATTTCCTTTAATCACAAGTAGACAAATTTAGATAAATTTATTTGAATATATTTATTTAGGGTATGCAAGGTGCACCAGGGTCACAAGGATTCCCAGGACCCCAGGGCGCACCGGGTCAAGCTGGAGACCCAGGGGTGGCGGGAGAAAGAGGAGATCCTGTAAGTAGTTACATGTATTTTTAAGTGTCGATGTTTATTGTTAATTTACCAGAAGAAGACATTATTTATCTTGATGGTTTTCAACCCAGGGACAAGATGGCAGTGTAGGTCGCCAGGGAGACCCGGGAGAGAAGGGGAACACTGGAGCACCCGGAGAACAAGGTTTACCAGGATTGGCAGGACAAGAAGGCAAAAGGGTAATGTATATTATACTTTGTTGAATATTTGAATACTTTGATACCGATTGACTTTCGGAGGTATTGCCATTTGATGTTTTTGACATAAATGTAACCTATCTCATAAGTGTTAATATGAATCTTTCTGTACAGGGACCACCTGGACCCCCCGGAGCACAGGGACCAGTTGGGTTATCAGGAGAGAGAGTAAGTGTCAATTTTTATTTTCATGAAAAGTATACTAGTAGTTATCTTCAGAATGGTATATTGTACAATATCAGTATCAGTTAAGATCTTTGATAAACAAAATTGGAAAACAATTCTACCTAGTGAAGAAGTTTAATGGTCACTATATTTTGTGTCCAGGTAATTTTTGTAATAAATGAACCATTAATGAAGAAGTAAATTTTTTATTCTCATTACAGTGTAATTATTTTTGTAAGAATATATTTTTCTGAAGTATATGTCATTGGCTTTTGTTTAAATTTTTACCGACATTCTCTGATTCGGTATTTTTATTATTTACTTAACACATTCATTCTTTTCATTTTGTCGCTTTTACATTTAGGGTTCACCAGGACCCGCAGGATTGCCAGGCCCACAGGGTTCCCCAGGGGCACCTGGAAGACCAGGAGAGAGAGGATCGACTGGAGAACCGGGAATTGGTGGAGATCCGGTATATTAAAGTTATCATTCGAACCAAAAAAAAATATTTGGAATAGAAGTGCGGGAATTTATAATAATTTGCCTTATAATGTACGCTAGCTGATATCTCTTCTCATGTTTTATTAGGGATTGACAGGTACCCCGGGACACCAAGGCCCTCCAGGACCGCGGGTAGGTTTATATCTTCAGCCTAATTTAAAGAAATACAGTGTAATGAATTCTATTTAGTATAAGAAATTTAATCCATAGTTTGTAGTCTCGGGAATGAATAATTCTTACTAAGAAAAAATTCTAGCAGAAATATTTGTATTTCATCTTTTAGAAACATGGACGAACGTTATTCATTTTCTGCAATGGATAAGTTACTGAGGATCGAAATGATTATATTTACCGATTTAATGTGTAATATTCCATCACTTCCTTTCGTGCGGCATAATATAGTTCTACTGTATCAGATGTATGCTTTTTCTGTGTCTCTGTTAATGTTCTTGTCCTTCTTGATTCTGTTTTTATGTGTGTATTATCTTTTTTAATTTTCTGTTTTGTTTATCTGTAAATAAAAGTTCAACTATCTGTGAAGAAATCTATGTGATACGTAATATCTACTTTTATAAAATTTTCCTTAGGGCAGACCTGGGAAAACTGGTGAAACAGGCGAACAGGGAGTTCGAGGTCAACCGGTAAGTTTTAAGAATTTTACTAGAGTATTGATAATTTTTTTTTTTTTTTTTTTTTTTTTGCTAACTTCAAATCATTTTAAGATTTAAAATATGTAAGAAAGTTGCTAATGTTTGATTTTTGGTATTTCGTTGATAGGGATTGAGTGGAAATGATGGGAAAAATGGAGAACCTGGTCCCCCTGGACCCCCAGGCAACCCTGGATTACCAGGACCCCCGGGGATTGTTGGAGAATCCGTAAGAATATAGTTTTCTCTGTATTTCTTATAAAGGTTCATGTTCTTTAAGGGTCGGTACTATATTAGTTAATTAATTAACTTAATTTTAGTAATTTTTTGAAGGGTTAAATATCAAATTAATCTGATTTGGTCAATTATTAGAAGAAAACCATAATTAACTTAGCAGTTTGTCAACCGTTATAATCTGTAAGACTAGAAATTACATTAATCATAAAATACGTGTTCCATGTTACAAATATTGATTAATATAATTTGGATGAATTCATGCAAATTTGTATATGTAAAAGGGTCTTCCTGGAAGAGATGGTGAAACAGGTGGCCCAGGTAGACAAGGACCCAGAGGAATAAGAGGACCTGCAGGACCCCCCGGACCCGAGGGACCAGCTGGAATTCAGGTTTTTTCTTCTTGCTAGGATTTATGTTATATTTCAAAGTTCAATATTGACTTTGTTTACGATGTGGTTCATTCTATTCCGTAATTTTACTTTTATCATTTTCGAAAGTTGAAATCGAAAAAAAATTATCATACTTGTCAAATATAGGGTCGTAAAAGTTATGGAGAAGCTACAAATAAAAGGTATATCTGATGATGTAAATATGTATTTGCAAAACAAGTCTTCATGTATGGTACAGTGGAAAAATAATACAAAACATTAACACGATAGGGAGCACAAGGAGAGAGAGGAGACCCCGGGGAGCCAGGAGACCCAGGATTCAATGTGAGTTTAAGTCTGAGTATCATCAATTTTTTTCATTTTTATCTTTTTTGTTACACAACAAATATTTGGATTTTTCCCTTTTTCAACACTAGGGTCCACCAGGAGCAGCAGGTGCCCCTGGTGAGAACGGAAAGACTGGAGACACAGGAGCCACAGGACCTAGCGGGGAACCAGGAGTTCCTGGAGAAAGAGTGGGTCATGAGTTTTGAATTCATCATAACCTTAGCTGTAACTTATAAAAGACTTTTAAGTACTGGTGCAATTTTTTCTATGATAAAAGTATTAGAATATTTTTTCTTAAATTGCATCATTGTTGTTTAGGGGGAACCCGGTCTTCCAGGCGAAGCAGGACCAAGAGGATCTCGAGGTGCCACAGGGGAACGCGGACCCTCGGGACCGGCAGGAGAGTCCGGGCCACCGGTAAATCATGCCCCACTGATATTGCTTTATTGCATTTATTCCGTGACCATTAATTGTTCTTTCAGATATTGAGAAAAATATGGTATTATTTCAGGGACCTCCAGGATCTATGGGAGAAAGAGGAGACAGCGGACCTCCTGGTATTGTGGTTAGTTTGATTTTCATTAAAGCTATTTTGATTGTCACATATTTTTTCCTGAATTCATTTGCTAGTACAAAACTTTAATAGCTTGCTTGGTTCAAAGAAAAAAATAAAATATTTGATATAATATGAAAATATTTCAAACATTGTTAGGGTTTGCCAGGTGAATCTGGAGCTCCAGGGCCAAGAGGAACACGTGGTAACCGGGTGAGTTATTTATAACATACTTTAATTCAACAATAACTTAAAGTTCTAATGACTTTTAGAAAGTATTTACAATTAGTAAACGTTTATTTTTTTAAAGTACATAGTGAATGTGTACATGTACTGACAGAGGCATTACCTATGAAAATTTTTAATAATGATTTGTTGTAAATCCTGTCTTTCATTTTCAGGGTCCTAGAGGTCCATCTGGACTTGATGGTGTTACTGGTGAGATTGGTTTGCCAGGAGACAAAGGTGAACCAGGCCCCCCAGGTCCTCCAAGTACTGCTCTGCCACCACGCGGTCCCCCCGGAGAACCAGGTCCTGCTGGAGAAATTGGTGCACCTGGAGAAACTGGACCTATGGGCTATCCCGGAAATCCAGGCGGTGTTGGAGAGAGAGGCACCCAGGTATATCCGATCTTTAACAGACAAATTGCACACTTTCCATTCATAAAGAAAAATATTTCACTATTTATATACTGGTATCTAAATCTTAATTTATTTATCATTTATTTTGACTTAATTGAGGTTGAATAGTCAATGATTAAGGAAACTTAATAATATAACAATAGCTGATGCTTGTCACAAAGAATCACATCAGACCAATTTTTAATTGCTCTTGTCAAAACATGTGTTATATGTATCTGTTAGATATTAAAGGACAACATTTTAAGCATGAAATTCAAATACATATCTTTTGTGTATTCTTTTTAAATTTTCTACATGAGGCTTGTATATTTGGAAAGTTCTGTCTTAAATGTATATTTGACTTATTCCTTTTTAATTACTGAGTATTTCTCCTTTTTTATTTGGTAGGGTAATCCCGGCCCCCCTGGAGCGGCGGGAGAAGCAGGAGTTCCTGGTCCTAGGGTGAGTCTTTGTTGTACAGTGTCACTCTTGCGTAATCTTTTGAAATTTTCCTGTTTCTTCCCTGGAATTGCTGAACCAAGTGTAACCATTATTGATATAATAATGGTTTATATATAATGGTTTAAGAAGTGATCGTACTCAGAGCATCTTGCGTACCTTATCAGTTGGGAGATATAAACACCATATGCAGGTGATAGTGCCCCCTCCAGCTTGGATTTCAATTTAGTAAGCACTGAGAACTCAACCAAAAGAAAATTGCGAAACATCGATTAAGAGTTTAGGGCCTGAAATGGGGCTGAATTGATCATATATTGAAAATGTATTACTTCTTTGAATCTTTTAATTCCTTTTGAGACCAAGTAGGCAGTTTGTTTGCACAATTATAATTTAGTTATAGTATCTGTATCAAAATTATGATATTCATGAAATATAGAGATAACGAACAGTAATCAAGCTTAAAACTTCATTGAAACAATACAAATAGAAAGGAGAGCAAACACGGACCTCTAAAAGCATCAGAGGCGGGATCAGGTGCCAAGGAGGATTAAGAATGCCCTGTCGACCGGTCACACACGTCGTGTGCTCCTTATCATGATCGGGCAATATGTCTGGACAGAAAGTACAGATCAAAAGGGAAGAGTAGCAATAACACTGAAAATTACACAAAATTATACACATATTTTTAATTATATGTAAATGGAATCAGGAAGGTACAGAACATGGGAATCAATATGTCTTACTGGGTACATGACTTATCGAGAAACCTAGGAGGTCTCTCAACAGGTCAAAGATTTGAGGTTATTTTAACAAAGTTGCAGTCAACAGAAGGAAAAGTATACCAATCCTTGTGATGTAATTTTAAAATTCAATAGTCGATAAAAAAAGAAAAAAGAAAAGAAAAGAAAAATTTTTGGAGGGGGTGCATGGGGTGGGGTGGGGGGCTAAAATTGTTAAAGAATTATACGATGGGCTTGTATACTAGTATATGACTTTTTTTTCCTTAGAGAAAATGTAGAAATATTAATGATAATTATTTGAGTATGATGGCTCTAGAGCCGCCTTTGTTTATGCTTATTCGTTGTATATATCTTTAGGGAGATCCTGGCCCACGTGGATTTCAGGGAGAGCAAGGAATACCCGGTGAAAATGTAAGTGTGATTTTTAATGGTCGAATGATCTCAGATAGACAAGATACCTTATTTAAATACAATTCCTTAAAGAGTAATTAGTTCTGAGATTTTCTTGGAAAGAAAAAAAAGTTTCTGTGGATTTGTATCTTATATTGTATATCTCTTGCTGATAAATAGAAAATGATCAGTCGTACAGTGCTGTTCGAAAAAAAAGTATTTTTAAATAAAAAATGAGGAAACATGTTTTTGGTTAGAATAATCTTTTAATTGATTACACAGGGTAGACCAGGAGAGGCCGGTAGTAAGGGAGGGGTTGGAGAAGCTGGACCACAGGGACCACCAGGGACACCAGGCTCACCTGGTCGAGCCGGAATACAGGGCTTGCCAGGCGAGTCTGGACCCTTAGGAGCCCCAGGAAGTCCAGGAAAGCAGGGAGACAGGGTAAAAGCATATTGAATACACAATAAGCACAATGTAATCAAAGATTCATAAAATCCCTGTATGAACTTGGACACATTTCTTTATTTTTTGCCTTACGTTCCCTTATTGGCCCAACATGATAATAGTGAATAAATTAACATTCAAACTGAGCATCTTAAGGGCCTTGATTAAAAGATCTTATGTATCAACAGAATTCTGGATTATGTTAACATTAGCTTTTCTGATTTTGTAAATATAGCTTTCTGCTACAAAAATTGGAAGAAGTTAGTTGTTTAAGATGTTTGAAACACACTTTGAGACGTTTGCAACTTTTCAAAAAGTAATAGTGTAATTTAATGTAAATATATGATTTTTGATAAAACCTAACCAAATACCACAGGGGGATCGAGGTGAGGTTGGAGCCCCCGGACCTGTGGGAAGACAAGGTGACAATGGCGCTGATGGACGCGACGGTGCACAAGGAGAAAGAGGAAATTCTGGACTTCAAGTAAGTTAATCTATAAAGGATTCCCCTTTATATTCAGGGTCATGTATACAGCTGAAAATTAATAGAAATTAAAATCATTAAACTTAATCTCTGAATTCACTTTACATTCCTAGCGTAATCTCTGAATTCATTTTACATTCTATTTCTAAGCATAATCTCTGAACTTACTTTACATTCCTAACGTAATCTCAGTAAACAGTTATAAAAGGAGAGGGTGTGCATAGGCTTTGCCTGTTGCCCAATCCTTATTGAATTACTCAATAAAATATGTTTAAAGTAAGTAATTTCAGTATACAATTTAAATCCAATTAAGTAGAAAAACTACAATACGTTTCATTATCGGGTTCATACTTCAGGGACCACAAGGGCCACCAGGACCTTCTGGACCTCAGGGTGAACGAGGCGTGCCAGGTTATCCTGGTGCCCAAGGAGAAATGGGACCCCAAGGGGAGCAAGGACCTGTAGTATGTATAAATGCATTGTGTCTTTGTCAGAATTCAAGACTTTTCCAGCAGTTTCTAGTAAACATATGTCATTGGTTGCTGTAATTTTTTGGATTTTTTTTACCTATAATTTAAATGCAAGATCATTTTTTGTCCTATAGAATTTGTTTATTAAGCTTTGGAAGAAAATTTAATATAGTTAGGATATTTTTATAGTGGTTTATTCATAATTGTCTAAACAAATTCGTATAGCCAGCTGTACAGTATGTAAAGGACTGTAGAAAACATTTTTGTTGTAAGGAATGGAGGACACTGAATGAACATTTGATTTATAAATTATGTATTGTCAATGTTTTGTTAGGGAGCAGTCGGGGAACCAGGTAAAAATGGATTAGATGGATTAACAGGACCAGTTGGTTCTCCAGGACCAATCGGAAACCCGGGTTACCAGGGACCACCAGGCGAAAATGTATGTTAGATTTTAGGGGCATGTACTGTAAATATATCTATATAACTTATCTGATAATTAAAAAAAATATTCTGTGAAACTGTTTAGGTATTGATTTCAAACGATCATATCCCCAAAGATTATTTTATCTTTTTTTCGGAAAATATTCTGTTATTCATAATATTTAAATATTTTAAATGCCTTCATCATTTTCTTGGTTTTTAAACTAAAAGAAAGCAGTAATCCAGTTTTCTGCATTTTTTTTTTCATTACAAATTTCGATCGTTATTTTAACTGTAAAATTATAACATTTAACAAGAGGTTAAGTGCAGGATATTCTTCCAAGCATTTTGTACGTTAAAATAACATTTTCAAAAGCTGGATCAAAACAATTTAAAATACAGATATTGTTACTTTGTTTATAGAAAATAGGCTATTTCTGACATCATGAGAAAAGGTTATTTAATGAGAATATTCTAAGGGGAGGCTGAGGGGAAAAATCTTTTTTCTCACTAGTAAATATGTCGTTTCTCTCATAAGGATAAACACATCAGAAGGGACGGAATAGTTGAGCAAAATTTACATTTTTCTTTCCATCCTTCCATTATAAAGAAAAACTGTTTTGCTTTATTTTACTGAAGGGCCCATCTGGAGCAAATGGATTACCAGGTGCACCTGGAGCTCCCGGAGAAAAGGGACCCCGCGGTCCATTAGGTCAAGCCGGCCTTCCAGGACCACCAGGTCCACAGGTGAAGATTATACTTACCATATAGAAATAAAGTGAGCATGAGCTGTGATAACGTATATATTGAAAATATTTTCATCATTATAATAAAAATTATACATTCAGGGACCACAAGGACCAACAGGAGAGTCTGGCCCACAGGGAGAGCGAGGAGAAAGGGTTAGCTATTGCAACTTTCATTTCATTTTGTTCACGGTCTTCATTATTTAAGTTCCTGGTTTTTTTTATTCTTGCAAAAGTCTATATCAGAGGTAAACTGCAGCTTTCAAAGGGCAACTTTTAGCTCATCATATTTACTGACAATTGAAAACATGATGATAATTTTAAAAAAAAATAGCTTCCATATGCATTATAATATTTAATGTTGATGTTTTTTCAGGGAGAAGTTGGAGAGGCCGGAATCCCAGGACCACCCGGTCAATCTGGCCCTGCTGTAAGTCAAAATTCATTTAATATTTACTGCTACAGAAAGATTTATAAAAAAAAAATTATTAAGCTTAAAAAGGTTGATAATAAATTTGAAAATAACTATTATGGAAAACGATATGATTTTTATACGTTGATAAACTAGGAATTAGATGAACTATAATTTTAAAGAAAACTGACATAATAAAAATACTAATATTAAAGGGACCAATGGGACCTCAAGGAGAAAAGGGAAACACTGGTGGAGTTGGAGCAAAGGTAAATTATCAGTAATTATATGAACATGGATCTGATAGTTAATAGAGTGTTTAATTATGGTTGATTTGGATATATTTTCTTTCAGGGTGACAAAGGCTGGCCAGGTCTCCCTGGTGGACAAGGAATGCCCGGACCTCAGGTATGGCATAAACTCTGGATTTTTTAATGTTTTTATCTTTCTATGATGATACTAGTATTCAAGTTTCACATGTATGATTCTTATTATTACATTTCTGTTATTTTAACACAGGGCAATAGCGGAGATATCGGACAACCTGGTCCCCCAGGACCACCAGGGCCGCTGGTATTGTAAACTTTGACATTGGCATATTAACTTTGGTGTCCCTAGAACACTATTTCTTTTTTCCTCGTGTAAAAAAAATCTTGTTAGATGTTTTGGTGTAAATTTACATTGAGAATCAAATGTATACTCACCATTATTCTCGACAGGGAGAGACTGGACAACGTGGATCACCAGGTCGTGACGGGGACCCAGGTCCTATTGGCCCTCCTGGAGCACCTGTAAGTAAACAGAAATATTGTAGTATAAAAAATAACCACCTGCAATAAATAGGCTAAACCTACAAATACTCTTTCTATTATAGAATCTAGCATGTGATCACTAGAGATTGCATTGAAAATACTTTTCAAATGTAACAAATAAAAATGTGTTAAATTATTCTGAATAGTGACATTAACAAATCAAAATGTGTTAAAATTATTCTGAATAGTGACATTACAAATGAAATAACGTTTCTCTCTGGGAAATATTCCATTTCTGAGCTTGGAAATTAGAGCCTGTTGCAAAATATTATGCTCTATGATGTGAAACCTAGATTAATTTTGTGATTATTGCTAATTAGGTCAATATGTCGAATTCAAATAATCAAAGATTCAGATTTAAAAAAAGAAGAAGATTGAAGCAGAAGTACAAGTACATATAATCTTCACTTTAATTTTTTAGGGACCTCGTGGACCTGAAGGAGACGATGGACCAATCGTAAGTTTTCAAAATTCAGCAGGATACTCCAAAACACAACGACTTATACAATCCTGGACAAATAAGCAACAGACAAATTAACAAAACTCACCATTTTCCCTATTTTCAAAACAAACAAAAAAAATGACTGGCGATAATTTTGATTTGATATGGAATTCGAAAATATTTTTTATAAGATTAATTAAACGATTACCAATATTTATGTCAATTTCAGGGTGCACAAGGGCCACCTGGACCCCCAGGCAGACCAGGACCTCCCGTAAGTTTTGCATTTTATGATTGATTTTGTTGATTCAATCAATTAAAATATTTTCATGTATATTCATTTTGTATGCAAATCATTTTAAGGGATATGCCCCAGTTTTCCCAGGCAACGTCAATTACAATCAAGTGAAAGGACCCGATCCTTACGTGAGTATGATAAAACTGGTACTTTTTGTCACAGTAGTCAAGTCAAATAAAATATATTTTTGATATTTTATTGAACCAAGACTAATATATTTTTTTTCTTCTTTGTTTCTAGTACAATGATGATCCAAACGCAATGGTAAGTTTACGTGACAAGATATATGTGTGCGTCTATTATTAATTTTTGGAAGATTTACAGATCTTACTCATGTAATATGGAGATAACGAATAGTATTTAAGCTCAAAGTCCATTAAAACAATACAAATCGCGAGCATCAAAATTAAATCAGAGGGACCTCCAAAAACAGAGGTGGGATCAGGTGCCATGGAGGAGTGAGCATTCCCGATTATGGTGCGGCTATAATTTTCATTTTGTTGCACGATGCTAAGCTACATGAAAATAAAGTTTTTCTCATTTCATGAATTGTATACCACGTTCAGATTATGAGACACTTTCATTCAAGTCCAAAAGAAATTTTGCTTAAAATTATTGAATTTTCTTGAACGTCACTTTGATATTACATTATAAAAGTAAATTTACCATATTTGGCTTGCCTGTTAGATGAGAGATAAAAATTACCTTATCCATTTTTTTATCAGAAAAAAAGGTTATTTAAAACAGCCTTAAACGTAAAAAGAAAAACAAAATTTCCATAATTAGTCGAATTTTATCGTCAGTGACCTGCTTTCTTATTATCTAGAGTGACGATGCCTACGTAGACTTAAATACTCTAGGGGAAGCAATCAATCGTGTCAGGAGACCTATTGGAACCAGAAAAGCGCCAGGACAACATTGTCAACATATCAAACTGAAAAATCCTGACTTTACCAATGGTAAATTTGATCTCTCTTGCTTTAATATATCATTATACTAAAAAAACAACAGAAAAATACAATCAAATATCAATTATATCCCAAAAATTGAAAATAAACTGTAAAAATTAATATTTTCAAAAAATCTACAATAAACTTAAAAACAATTTCATATATTTTGTCGAGATTCCATACTTATCACTCCTTTAAAATGAAATATTTTTTGAAGCTATTTTCTCCTGGGTATAAGATTTTAAAATTTTACTTCGGGATTTTCTTGAACTACATATACAAACATGTATTTTTCCCCCAAATAAGATCTTACTATAAAAATAAATCAAATTGAATGATTTTATTATAACCAACATTTGAATCAAAGAAATAACTTTTTTGCAGGACAGAACAAATTTAACACTATTAATCTTTAATATTCATATATGATTGCATTTTTAAGGGGATTATTATATCGACCCGAATGATCGCAATGTGCCAGCAGATCCAATCCTAGTAAGATGTAACATGACATCCGGTGAAACTTGCATACAAGCAAAGGGAAATAGCGTAAGTAAATTCAGTACTTTAAAAACTGTATATAACACATCTGATAAAAAAAAGACAATAGATTTTCATGTTTATCATTTAGATTACCTGATACTGAGATCAAAGGATCTTTATTTATAGAAAATTTGCAGTCCCCGACTGTTTGTTTGGTCGACTTTTTCAAAGATTTTCTTGTCAATCAGTTGTGAATATTATACTAATGGCATAACGATTCATCAGACGTTTTAAAGAAGAAAAATGAAGCTTACTCGAGGACGGGTCATATCGATTTCTAAAAAGAAATTAATGTAGGAATTCTATTCTAAAATGATGTTTCAGCACAAATTTATTCCTTACCATTATAATTAGAAATAATTGAAAAATATGCTTAAAAGTGTCGACGATAGCCTGAATTTAACAATTTGAAAAAAAAGTTTTATTTCCATATAGCATGGCTCTGAACGAGTCTCACAATTTGACGTCATTTTGCCACGTGACTTTCAAGTTGTGGCTTAAATTACGCATGATAAAATTCCAATTCTATTGGGGAGAGGAGGGGGCAAGAGATTAAAAAAAATACAATGCAATATGGATCAAAAGATGTCAGTAGATCTGTGTGTTTTTTATATTCATTTAATTCTTTTCTTGCTTAATTTAATTGATCCCAACTGTAGAAAATGATGTGCATATTTCGTCTGACTTCAGGAAAACCAGCAGCGATGGACCAAACAATCAGGGCGACCAATTTGGTTTGGAGAGGAAATTACTGGAGATGATGAGGTATGTATTGTTCATGTATATAATAAATTTTTTGTTATTCCCGACGGTTTCTTTAGAAAAATGGTATTTATTCATTGTGACACTAATCAAAGGTGTTTGTGTGGGCTTTTTTTTTTTTACGAAAAACGTTGCTGCAGGAAAGCAAGGAGATAAAAAAAAAATCTAAAAGACATGGACTCATTGCAAAAACAACTGACATCTTTAACGAACCGTTAAAAGATATCCATATTTTTTTCAGTTTAACTACAAAGTACCTTCTAAGCATTTGGGATGGTTACAAATGAGAAGTAGCACTGCCAAACAGAAAATCAGCATTTTCTGCAAAAATGTGGATCCTAAAGACACTAAATTCCGCTTGTTTGACGGCAGTGCAATAAGTTCCTCTCTTCTCCGTCCACAACACAGAACAACAATAACAGTAGAGAACGATTGTTCTGTAAGTCATTTAGGAAGTATACTTATATCTTGTTTTTGATCGTATAAAAATTTTTCTGAACTATTTTTATAGAAATGATCTTTTAAAACTAATCCCACAAAGTTTTTTTTTCCACAATAATGTAAAGACTGAATATGAGATATTTAGTTCACAGTTGTATTTGGGAAACGCAACTTCAACACTTGCGTGCTCTGTATAATAATCCTTTAATTTTTTTTTCTTTTGGATTAAAAAAATCATATTCAAAGGGCACAGAAAATAATTTATAAAAGTATATATAATGAAAAAAAAAAATAAGCAAAGAAACAATAGTTTTTCAAAGGTCATTTTATTTTTACAAATGTCTTTTTAAATAATATATTGAAGATACAAGCATAAAATATTTTCATATATTTATAGGGTAAAGTCAATACTTGGTCTAAAGCTGTTTTCACGATCTCAACAAAGAGGGCTGATTTATTGCCAATATTAGACATACAGCTTGCTGACGTAGGCAATGAAGGCCAAGAATTTGGTATTAAAGTAGAAGAAGTATGTTTCCATGACGATGGATATATAGGAACCAATTAAAATTAATTTTCTTGAAATCATGGCACTTTTGAAATCATGGCAATACATGAAATTATGGCAATATACACCATCTGAAACCGGCAAACAAATCGTGGGATTACCTGAAATCATGGCAACTGGCGAGGAAATCATGGCATTACCTGAAATCATGGCAACTGGCAAATAAATCATGGCATTACCTGAGATCATGGCAACATAACCATCATTGAACTGGTAATTAAATCAGGACAAATTGAAATCATGGCAAAATATATCGTATAACAGGCAATTCCAAACACGAACTTATTTGTAGCATACAACATGTGGCAAAGGGCAGGTGTATATCTGTGACAACAAAGCTTTTGTGATTTTTGTAAAGTCTAAAATTTAAAACAGATTGTGACATGTTCATGGCAACTTTTCATGACAACTTCTGTGGATTCGTTTACAATTTTAATTCCAAGCTAATCGTGTTATATACATTTGTGTTATGTGTGTGTTTTGATTTTCGCTCATATGACAACGTGATCATTCCGAAGAAGTGGGTGAAAGGACAATATTGTACATCTGTGATTTTTGTATGTTTGTTTTATTTATGTTCTTTTGTGAATAGTCATTTAAGATGCTTTCATTAAAAGTGTTTCATCTAGGTCCCCCTACCTCTAAAGTATGGAAAGAAAACCGAACATCCCATTTTGTGACGACTGTGCGTAAATGATTACAATTAAAATTTGTTTAAACATAAAGTGAATAAATCGGATAATTATATTTGAGAGATGTTTATTGCATGTAACATGCTTGTTTTCTTCTCTGATTTCGGTGACTAAAATGTTAGTATTTTTGTTACCGCCTCCCGCCATCTTGATAAGCTCTCCAAACAGATTTAAATTAAATTCTTCAAAAAAGAACATACAGAGCTTTCAAATTTCAAAACTTGCATACAGCAATTACACTTCAGATACTATGCATCACTTGAAAAAAAAACACACCCTGAAATACAATATCAAATTACTGTTCCCAGGGCAAACCAAATTTAAAGTAATAGCGATATCAACTGTCTCTTAATGTAATTAATTTTCCGCGATTAATTTATTTTTGAATAGAGAAATATTTGGAAATTCAACACCAAGAGGAAAGATAGCTAGCCACTCTTAGCAAAAATCACAAAATACAGGTCACATGGTTTAAAGATAAAAAAAATTCTTGCAGACATGTAGATCGTGCTTGGCAAAGAATGACCATGACTTTAGTGTGCTTCAAAACCTGAGTGTCATTTTGACAATACAGGTTAAAGGGATTGCAAGTGTGATGTTTTTGCAGTCATAGATTTAAGGAGACTTTAGACTCTCATCTCTGACAAAGTTGTTCACGACATTAATAGTTTTCTGCGAAAACTTCATTTGTATGGGACGCCAAATTAACATAAACTCAAATAAAATATATCTTTTTAAAAATATCTGAAGATATCATCAATTTCTTTTGATGTGCGCAACAATCCAAGAATTCTTCACTTAATTAATGATAGCTTGAATTCTGTATTATTGTGTACATTAATTCATAATTGAATTATTGCTCTCTTTAATTGAATTGCGATCATCAATTTATTTTTATTATGATTTGTTTATATCACTTATTGATGCGTTGAATAATTTAATTCTTATTGGATCTCTTCAAATAAATCATAATAAAAATAAATTGATGATCGCAATTCAATTAAAGAGTGCAATAATTCAACTAATATGAATTGTAATTGAACTATTGCAATCTTCAATTGAATTACTTTGCAAATCAACCAATTAATAAACCCAATATTTCAATTACTGCTCTCTTCACAGGCGCGGATCCAGGATTTTTTCCAGGGGGTCCACCCCAGTCAAACAAACAATTTCCAACCCATAAATATCTTGACAAGCAAAAAAAAATTTAATCTCCTTTCTCAAACAAATATCAAACCCAGAAAATTTCTTGACAAGCATAAAAAAAACAAATTAACAAAAAACAACAACAAAAAAACCCCCGTAAAATCCATTTCCCATACATGAAAAAACATATTTCTTAGTGGTGGTGGTGGGATCCACGTTTTCTAGGGGGGTTGGGTCCAAAGTCATTTTTTATTTCCTTTAGTATACACTTTTAATAACTCTGCAAATTACAGGGGGGTCCGAACCCCACCCACCCCCTCCCCCCTCTAGATCCGCGCATGCTTCAATTGAATTAATAACATAATTGAAATAGTTATGCTCTCAAAAATTCTTTTAGAGAGAGCAACTTATTAACTGGTGATATTTTTATTTCAACATTCCATAATTTTAGAATGATCTCTTCATTGAATTATTGCTCTCTTTAAAAGATTTGATGCGAGCATCAATTCCACTGAAGTCGTTGTAAATTCCAATTGATTTAAGGAAAGCAAATCATTCAAACCAAGGTTTAGATTGATTTTGCAAACAATACTTCTACAACATTACGGAGCTCAAAATTGAATTGATGCGCGCATAAATTCAACTGATGAAGCAATAATTGAATTAATGTGCACAACAAATCAGTTACTGCTTTCATCAATTGAATTGAAGAGGACATTAGATCATTTCTTGCTGTCATTAATTAAATTGATGCTAACATAATTTTAATGAACAATTGGTTTTTTCTTTTTGGATTAACATGAACTCAAATGATACGAGATATCTTAAATTTTTATTATAAAAGTACATAATTAATTAAATTTTTCACACAGAAATTGATTTGGTCATTTAACCAATCATTTTTTAATCAATCAAATGAAAAATTGAATTATAAAACCAATTGAAATAATGAAAGTAATGGTTGATTTGATGTAGGCAGCAATTGCAATGATGAAAACAATAATTGATTTTTTACTCATATCAATTCAACTGATGAAAGCAATAATTCATGCATTAATTCAATTATTGCTCTTTTCTTCTCAATTTATGCGCGCATCAATTGAATTGTTGAACAAACTGTGTGTTGGAATTATTACTCCCAAAAATTTATTTAGACCTCTGTATAAAATGTTTGTTGATATATTTATTTCAATTGAAGATATCTTTAATTGTATACTTTACCAAGACTTTAATAGAGGAATTGATGTGCACATCTATTCTTTTAAAGAAAGCGACAATGGAAAAGATCTCTATTTAATTATTGATATGTTGAATTGAAGATCTTATTAATTGAATAGTTACAAGAACCTTCCCTAAAACTAAAACAATTGATGCTCACATAAATTGAATGAAATATATGGAGATAACGATAGTATTCAAGCTCAAATGTCCATTCAAACAATACAAATCAGGAGTAGAGCAAACACGGACCTCTAAAACATCAGAGGTGGGATCAGGTACCATGGAGGAGTAAGCATCCCCTGCCGACCGGTCACACCCGCCGTGTGCTCCTTGTCATGATCGGGAAAAAACGGGAATAAACCTTTGACAATTCGGTGTGAAAACAATGCTCTCACAATTAGTATGAAAAACGTGGATCAGCATTTGACTAAATGATAGATTGTATTTGCTGACAAGGTCATTGTATCGACCATAGAACTTACGAAATGATGACTTTAAAAAACACTGTTGATGTTCTTGTTTCATCAACTTGTTTGTCAATAAATTACCTCCTTTTTAGAAATTGTTCATACGTAGAGCATGCTCCTACGTATCGAATCAACTGAGAGATATAAACCCCATATGCAGGTGATAAGGATATATTGCTGTATAGGTAAGGGAAATTATTGACGATTGAAAAGTTAGTCATCACGTTTATCAGAAAGCTTGGTTGTTAGATTACCATTAACGTCTTTCTATAGTAAAACAGCCAAATATGAAACAGATGTGTCAGACTCTGAGGTATCTTTTCTTTCAAGCTCACTGGAATATATCGTATATCGACATATGAATGGAAATAACTATTGCTAATTGATAATACGTCGTCGATATATCTAAATGTCAAGTTGAAAGCCACAGCAAATCTTTTCTTCTTCTCATGTATAAGATTTTGAATAAAATCTGCTTCATATGAATACAAAAATAGGTCTGGTAATAGCAATTGGTACCGATGGGAATTCCAACAGATTGTTGGAATACCTGGTCTCTAGAAACCACATAGATATTGTCAATCAGAAACTCAAGCATCTTTGTAATATCAACTTCAGAGTACTTGTGTGTACAAACAAAATGTTTTTAACAAAATAATTTTGCAAATGACCAATGACAAGGTAGGTAAATTTATGTTGAAAAAGCAGCTGTGTCTGATGTCAGAAAGCCTGGACTTTAACTTATCTTGGGGAATAGCTGTATTAAGTGTTGAAAAGTCGTTCAAAAAGATAGTAATAATTCAATTATTGCACGCATTAAATGAATCAATGCTCTCTTCAACTGAAGTATTACAGGCATGAATTCAATTGTTAATATCACTTAATCATTTGAAGAGAGCAACAATTCAATTATTGCGCAAAACAGCAAATAATGACATCAATAATTGAATTAATTGAAGGTATTAATTATTTGATGAGACCTTTAATTGAATTGATAGTACTGTATACAGGGTTATTTTCGCTCCGTGTTATTTTCGCCTATTCGAACTTGCAAACAAATTGCCTCGTTTAAAATTCGCCCAGTTACAGTTTTCTTTAAGAATTTATATTGTGTTCTTTGAATTCGTCCCGTTTTAAATTCGCCCATCTGTAATTAGGGCGAAAGAGGCAAAAATAAAACTGGAGCGAAAATTTCCCTGTATACAGTATCTCCAAATACAGGTAATTGAATTAATTTGGCGCTCCATAGATTTTCTACCTTGATTGTGAAATTCGTGTCCTATGATTTATTTGAATTCAAATTCAGGGATCAGACCCCAGGCCCCAGGATCATCAGATAGACTTTAGACTTAAGTCAAATTTTTAATCGCCTGTAAAATGTTTATTGATTATTGAATTAATCTCTAAATTTCCAGATAACAACACTTTTAAATACAACCTCAAGATTTTGACTTAAGCTAAAGATGTTTCATGATCATGGAGCCAGGAAGGGGCTTAGTTTGTCGTATTTTGAGAATTCATATCTTTGAAAATTTAATTTTCCCCACTGATTTTCAGGATAAAGTGTAAAAATGATATAAAGAAACAGAAATTGTTCATTTCAAAACCTCTGGATTCAGAATTCAGGGTCAGGAAAAAAATTAATCACTGGGCAATGTGATTTTTTTTTTTTTTAAAAAGGAAAATATTCTTTTTGTACTGAATGGGATTAAAATAAAGACTAACCAAGAATACATTAATTCTTGGGAAATATTTATTTAATATTTCTCAAGATTTAAAAGATATCTTTGCAAACAAAATAAGTTTCCCTCATCAGGCAGTAAATGAATCATTGTAGAAATGAGAACAGATCTAATATGTAGAAAAAAAGTTTTAAGAGAAAGGTTTATTCTCACATTGCGTGAAATGTTTAACAGCTGGTTTATCTGAAATTAATGCTCACGCTTATAAAGACACAAGATAGGGCCTCAGTTAGCATGTAAATTTAATGACGTTAGAAAATATATTTTCCTCGGCATGTTGATAATGGGGAAGACTAATTGGAATCTCGATTGTTTTTAAAGCACATCTTGAGCGCAATAAATTTTGATAAAATACAGTGATCGACCAAAGGAGAAAAATGTACCTACATGCGTTCACATACTTTAAGGGTTTTATAGAGTGGGATTGTGCCAATGACGCAGCACATGCAAAAACTAGTGTAAATTTCATGCCTAGCTATTTATATTTTTGTCAATCTCCTTGGAGTCGTGTAGCGTAAGTATTATCAATAAGGCCAAGGTAAACGAGGCCTACATTTTTTTTATCTACTGTATTCATAAATTCCAACAAGTGATAACCTTGCCAATTGTCAGTCCTTTGTTTTTAAAAATTTGACTACGGAAAATTCCGTCTATCCGATCAATACATAGGGCTCACAGTAGGTGTAACCGGTCAACAGGGGATGCTTATTATTGTAAGCTAAGATGAAGGAATTGCAGATTCAAGATATCAATTTAAGTCTTATTATATCTAATTTTCTTTTTTAAAAATGTGATAAGGAAATTTTATTAACTGATCAAGGGGTTTTATTCCAGATACGTGAATAAAGGACATATGATACAAACAAGCATTTTATATATATATATATATATATATATATATATATATATATATATATATATATATATATATATATATATATATATATATATATATATATATTACATTTTCAACAGTGAAATACTGTGATTTATTTATTGAATAAAAGTGATATTCTCTCACAGTGTGAAAGGATACCAAAATGATATTCTCTCGCAGTGTGAAAGGATATCAAATTAAGTAAAAAATAATTCCTGGCCTGTCATAAGATAGATATAATAACTAAGCATCTTGATAGAGGTAAAACTGCAAATTTCTTCCCAAATATGTTGCTAAAATCCATGCTATGTAATGTTTTCAATCACACAACTGCTAAGCTATGACGTCTCAACCGCTCAACTATGACGTCAAGCCTATGACACTGTGTTAAGAAAAGATTGAGGCAAAAGGAAAATCAAAGAAAATGTAATACACAGAAAATTCAATGTTTTGTAGATGAATATGGAATTTATTTCACTCGTGAGACAGGATTTTTTTTATATTTTCACTCGTGCTTCGCACTCGTGAAAATATCAAAAAATCCTGTCCCACTCGTGAAATAAATTCCATATTAATCTACAAAACATTGAATATCCTCTATATATATATATATATATATATATATATATATATATATATATATATATATATATATATATATATATATATATATATATATATATATAAAATGCTTGTTTGTATCATATGTCCTTTATTCACGTATCTGGAATAAAACCCCTTGATCAGTTAATAAAATTTCCTTATCACATTTTTAAAAAAGAAAATTAGATTCTATCTATCTATCTATCTATCTATCTATCTATCTATCTATCTATCTATATATATATATATATATATATATATATATATATATATATATATATATATATATATATATATATATACGGAAAAAATGGAAATAACTTGCTGATTTTTACAATCTTGGTCGATATTTTGAAATGTTAAATTAAGGGCCACGTTTTTTAATAAATTCTGCTTCATTGTAATATAAAAACAGGTCGGCTAATACAGGAGCACAGGTTCCCTGTTTGTTTTTGTTGGATGTTTTACTGACTAAATACGATAAAGGTCAACTAACAATAAATTGTATGACAAACGAGATGAATAAAAAATTATTCATCTTTTCCATAGTCAACTTTCCTTATGTATGAAGTAATATTCCAGTATCACCTGCATATGGCGTGTATGTCTCCCAACCTATTCGATACTTAGGAGCATGCTCTAGGTACGATTAAATTTTGACACCAAGGCAGGCTACTGACAGATAAGTTGATGTTACAGGGATTTCAACAACCTCGTTTAACGTCAGCTTTCTGTGAATTTTATGGTCGTAATAATGATCCTGTAAGCAGATATAACCTATCATTGGATCGTTCTTTGGCTGACGTGTTTCATGCCAATTGTCAGTCCTTTGTTTTTATAAATTTGACTACGGAAAATTCCGTCTATCCGATCAATACATAGGGCTCACAGTGGGTGTTACCGGTCAACAGGGGATGCTTACTCCTCCTAGGCACCTAATCCCACCTTTAAAATTTCCGGGGGTCCGTGTTTTATGCCCTTTTTGTATTGTTTGTATTTTTTTTTTTTTTTTTTTTTTTTTAGATCGATCATTGTTCGTTATTTTCACCTTTTTTCATTTAATTCGTCCAAGAAGTTTTTCGAGTTTTGATCACATTTCTGTGCTATTTCAGATTTAGAAGGATAAAATTTATACATGCTTTGCTTCATACAACACGACCAGTTCCTGTAGAGGGAAATAATGTTTAGATTTGAAGAGATGATTATGAATATTAATCATATGAATTTGGACTACTAGTTTTTCGTTGTTGTTGAAAAATTTAACTCATTGTAATCCAGTAATAATGAACGGCAGTGCTGGATACCATTTATCGAATTGTTATACCATTTGTCCGCATCCTCGCAAGCCAGGGGTCCTGACTCAACACGTTGCCGTTGGACCAACGGCAACGTGTTGACTCAGGACCCCTGGCTTGCAAGGATGTTTGTCCGATATATTAAACTCGGACGCCATGTTCATGTCGTATTTAGTTAACAAAGACCATCTTCTAAAAACACACGTTCGTCAGCTAGCTCAGTATCACTCAATGACCAATCACTATCGTCAATTTTAAAAATAAACTTAAGTCCGACGTAAGGTACAGTCTTATCACAAGGGTCGGTATGTCATTTTAGCAAGAAATGTTCACCATCCCACGAACGCGGTTATTTACAAGAATAACTTCCATTAGGTAAGTAATGCGCATTATTGCAGAATTCTTTTTAAAAAGATAATTCCAAACTATATTCAATATTAATAATATGTCATATATGTTTGATTTCTTCAATAGTGTTGCACCTCGGCAGTGGAGTGGTGTGAACATAGAACCAAGGATCCCCAAATATAACCGCCCACTTTGTACATCTAGCATGGCAACGGAAAGTCGTCGTGAGTGAATAAGATATTTACGTTGTAGAATCAATGTATATATAACCTGTAACCTTCGGAAGGGCATAAAGATGTAATTCGACAATACATATGTTCAGAATTTTTCTAAAACGACTCGTTGGTGTTATCTCGTTATAGCCACAAGGTTTAAGTGATTGATTATTTGCAGTGCTAGATAATGACTTATCTTTTAAATGTGTGTCATCCGACGGCGGATGGTTGATGTCAGAAAAATGTAAAATACGAGGGATGTTCAATATTTTTGTCCAATCAGAATAAGAACACAAAACATGAATTCAAATTTAAGTAGATTTATTTACTTTCCTTAAAAGTTATTCCCTACTGAAGTCGTTCATAATCTAGTCAGAAATATACTTTTAAATACATGTAATGTTGGTGTTATATTCATCATATAATGAAAAAATAACAGAGCTCAGTGCCTTTCAACTTTAAAGTCTACTACTCGGTAGGGCTTTTTTAGTTGGGATTAGGAACAATTAAAGGAGAAAAGGGATTAGGAACAATTAAAGGAGAAAAGGGATTAGGAACAATTAAAGGAAAAAAGATCAGTGAATTTGTACATGTTGTAGGTCTGATGCTGAAGCTCAAAATTTCTGATGCCGCCGACAGACATTTGCTTTATGGGCTGTAGCATTGTCAAGGAGAAGATTTTTGCTGCTCAAGCCTGTATTTGGTCCTCATTTTTTAGTAAAACATGAAGTACTGGAGAAACATATAAATTGAAAAAAAAGTGTTCAAATGACGCTTTTGCCTTGTGAAACTGAATATTGAATAATTATCCATCAGGGTTCCAAAAATGTTGTGTAAAGCGATTTCATCGATGTCAGGGTTCTTTTGACAATGATTTATGTTTTCATATTCTTTCTAATCTAGGCTTTTTTAACGATGAGTCATGCATCGGGGTTTTTTTTTTGGAATGTCACATATCTATGACATATTACTTTTGGTGACATCATTCGATGGTCTACTAGGATGAGCTTTGGGTTCTACCTTCTTAAGTTTGCTGACCCATCCGTCAGCTCTCTCTCTCTTTATACATAACAAACTCAGTATATGTCTGAACAATTTCTTCAAATATTTCGTTCTGTTCCAAGGATACAACGATCAAGAATGCCATTTCTGATTCAGAGGGTTTCGGTATTTCATGTTTTATCTATACGGGTATCCATTGTATTCGATTAGCTCAATTGTACATGTATCCGTTAGCATGTGTCTTAGAGTTCATGGATTTGTTTCATATTTTCTGCACGATACAAGTTGTTTTCTTTGATGAATAATCAAACCAGCAATCGGCCTATTAATTTATACTGGAAGATTTAAGGGACAAGAGAATATTGAATAACCTTTGTATTCAATTTGGTATCTCGTTTAACTCAAAGGCGCCCGAATGATTGTAGTCTTCTTTTCATTTTTTTTTTTGCATTCTCCAGGACCAACAAAACATGATACAAATTCTTTTTCGGGGGGGGGGGGGGAGGGGGGATGTTAAAAAATAGTCAATTCTTTTTTAAATGACCGGGATCATAACACTTTCCAAGACACAATTAATGAATAGTTAAACAGTTAAATAGGCTGGGATATTTACAAATGTTTTCTTATGAATCACTATTTTAGAAAAGAGAAAACACATGTATGTAAATACTATAGTAAGTCAAGACGTCTGAGATAGGTAAGGTCACAAAAGAACGTGGAAACATATGCATGGGATCTTCCAAATATTTTTGGGAATTTTAATTTCTCAATAGATACGCATACATTTGTATTTGTCAATGTTTTGTCAATATCCTGCACATATATACATGTAGTTTATTACAAAGTACATAAACCATGCAATGAGTCATCTTACAGTTGGCTATCAGTAAGCATAAATATTTACAACCCCTCTTCTCTCTCTCTCTTTCTCTCTCTCTCTGTTGGTGTAAAAATGAAAGTGAACAAAAGTATTTTCTCAAAAAAAAAGTAAAGAGATAGAAAAATGCATGGATAGGAAGCATTTTGTTCAAATAAGTGCGTCTCTTTTGATTTTTACCCGTGGAGAGAGAGAGAGAGAGAGAGAGAGAGAGAGAGAGAGAGAGAGAGAGAGATAATATTCTTCATATTTAACTTGTCTATATTTTTGAAGGTATCAATGATTAAAATGAGGTAGAAAAGTCTTTAGAGTATTTTAAAAATTGGGAACAAGTGTTAATTCTAGAGTGACCAACAGTTTGCTACAACAAGGCTTAAAAGTAAAACCCCATCACTCATGTGAAATATTTTTTTGAATTAGATGACGCCTTTTCCAACCCAGAAGTTCAGAAAATGTTACTAGACTTGCACAAACTAATGATACAAGATTTGATAAATGCAGAAACTAAAACATCACCAGTGTGCAACTTCAAGCAACCAGAAGACTTAATGGTATGTTGCGAAATAATGCAATAGAAACTAGTAGGGTAAAAAATTGAACATCTATTTGATTTCATTGCTAACTTGTATACTGGTACAACTACTAATAGCTGTATTTTAATTTTAAAAAGTTAAATGTATTTTGTAGAAAACATTAGATCTTAACATTGGAAATGATCCTACTACATACGACGCCATTTTGACGGCTTGTAAAAGTGTGATGGACCACTGTGTGAAGACGGGTGAGCCAATTATCCTTATCTCTTCACTACCCAGAATCTGATAACTGATCTGACTTTCTCAGTCTTCAGATCTATCCTTAACTATAAAGGTATTTCATTAAGCAATATAGTCTTGAGTTTCTCCCTATTCAATATTCTTATACATGTAGGCATTATGTACATGAAAATGGTATTGTAATCTCAAGTTTTCATGAGATTAGTTAATCTGCTTATTATCAGCAAAAAATCAAGTATAGTTCTTCTGTTTGACTTAACTATCATCAATATAATTACTAAAGGTAAATAATAAAGATAAATAACTTCTCTAAAAGTAGAGTAAAAATGATCGTTATAGAGCCCCATCCAAAATACAAGGGCCATGAATTTCAAAATTTTGGAAGAGACACTCTGCTCATCAAAACCAGGCACTAGGTTTTTACCTAAATACCTAGAAGCAGAATAGATTTTGAAAGGTTGAATGCATTCTCACTATATGATAAATAAAGCCCTGTCCTAACTCCAAACCCCCTAAACGAGAGGTCATGCATCTCACAATCTTGGTCATTATAACCATGCTCTTAGTTTGTCTGCTAAATTCTCAGAGGCAGGTAAGATTTTCAAAGACTAACCGCATTTTCACTAAAGGATCAATAGAAACCTTTCTTAACTCCAGATCCCCTGACCTTGCGCAATAAAACCATGCATTTATTTTGTCTATACCCAGAAGCAGAGAAGATTTTCAAACAAAGTAAAATAGTACATGTAGATGTAACTACGTAGAATTTTTAAGATTATTTTGAAATTTCTACAATTTTAAAAGTTTTTAAAAAGCTTTAGAAGTGATGAACCAAGTTGATTTTCAATAACGACTAACAAACATCAAGTGGAATACGAGAAGTCCCCGAGGCATAAGTTGTTATATTTATCCCAAATAAGAATCATTCCAGGCATAAGTATACTTAATATCCAGTGAGATAGAGTTTATGCTTTTCAGAACTTCAATTGAAAATTTGATTAACAAACAATAAACAGGATTTATTTTGTACAGCAAGCCCTCGTTTCATGAACCAATTGTACAGTGGAATCAACCCAAGCTGCCTGGCCGGTTCTTGGTTGACGGAAATACTAAACACTAACTTGTAAGTTTGATTGGTTGTGTGCTGTTTTACGTCCCTTGCGAGATTTTTCACTCATATGAGACGTCACCAGATATTTTAAATTCAGTGAATCTCTTATGGCTTTCATAACTTTTCAATTTCATATAGAATATAGAGCTTGAAACATTGACATCTTATGTTGCTTTCTTTCTTTTTTACTTCAATTTATCCAGCAAGTTTGAAAGCTCGTCATAAATATTGTTTCCAGACACACATATGAAGTCGCACCGGTGTTTGTTCTGATGGAGAAATACATGATGAAGAAATTAACATCTCTGTTGGGATTTGAAAATGGAGACGGTGTAACAACTCCAGGTAGATAATTCTCAATGGCTATACAATACAGATACATGTGTCTATTGCGAGATTTTTGTCGTGGAAAAAACACACAAAAATGCCGTTTGGGACTTCTACGACACTGTCAGAAGAAACTGAATGCATCCTGTATATAATATCGATCTAGAAAATAAAATAACACAAAAACCGGACTTTTCTCCGTTTTTAAAGATATCCTATTTCTGTTGTCTTCTGTGGTCACTCCATCTTTAAGATAAGAAAAATGATATGTTTTATACTACATGGTTAATCAATTTTAAGATTACTGTTCCTATTTATACTACAGTTTGCCGATTACTTTTTTAATTTCTCTGACACACATACATTACACAAAACAGTCGACATTTTTCTTCTTTATTGTAGGTGGTTCCTTTGCAAACATGCTTGGAATGCATTTAGCCAGACTCCAAGTTGATCCAAACATAAAATCAAACGGCATGGGGAGCAGCAGGAAGTTGGTCTTATTCACTTCAACTGAGGTGTGTTTTCAGTAAAAAAAACTATCATCCATATTTCTGTTTTTAAAAGGGTTTTTTCGTCTATTTTGTGTGTATCTTAAATTCAGTGTAAAACTAACTTAGAAAATTGGTGTTTTATTAAATGATTAAATTATTTGGGAGTGCTAAGAGTTGAGTGACGTTTTGATTAAGAGTCCCCTACCATATACGACTGGATTAGGTGTGATAAGCCGTTCTATCTATGAAGAAGAAAACACTTGATGTGGCCTTCAGCTCGACATACACATATATCGACAAAGTTTTATCAATTAACAAAAGATACTCCCGTTCATACGTCGATTCGATATTTCCCAGTGAGCTCGAAATGAAAGACATTACAGAGTCTGCCATGTCTGTTTCATAAGATGTTTACTGACTATAGACGATAAAGACCAACTAACAACTAAACTGTATGTTAAATGTGATGACTTCAGCTTTTCAATCGTCAACTTTCTTTATTTGTGTAATAATATACCATTAACACCTGCAAATGGTGTTTATGTCTCCCAGCTTATTCGATACTCAATGGCATGCTCTGAGTACGTTCAATTTTTAAACCGAGCAGGCTACTGACAGATACGTTGGTATTACAGAGGTTTCAAAAACCTCATTTAAAGTTGGTATTTCGTAAATTCTCTGGTCGTTATAATGACCTTGTTAGCAAATGTAACATCAATGGGTCGAATTTTGACTGACAAATTTCATACCAACTGTTAGGCGTTTGACTTTGTACTAAATTTGACTACTGAATGTTCAATACATAAGGCTCACGCGGGTGTGACCGGTCGACAGGGGATGCTTACTCCTCCTAGGCACCTGATCCCACCTGTGGACTTTCCAGGGGTCAATATTTTATGCACTGTTCACAGATTTGTATTATAAGCTTTTTTTTGATCGACCACTGTTCTTTATCTTCACTCTTTTCACTATATGTAACTCCGCCGCCAAGTTCACCGATCTCGGAACTTAATCTTGGACCATAAAAATTTTATCTGCTTAATTTAAGAAAATGCTACGGAATATGCATGTATGATTGAATTATTTTTTGCCGATTTTTTTTTTGTCACAACAGGCTCATTACTCCATTGTAAAAGGAGCGAGTTTCCTAGGATTTGGTGAAAAAAATATCATAAAAGTAGAAACTGATGAAAGAGGAATGATGAAGGCAGATGTTCTGGACCAAAAATTGAAAATGTGCAAAGATGAGGTAATTTTAAATATGTGTGTCATTAAATCGTTCAGTATCTTTTACTGTTATTGTACACCGAGCATTAGAGCACAGCTCAATACCTGCTTTGATAGCAAGGAAACTTGGAACAAGTACAGATCAAATGTTTAAAATTCAAAGATCTTCGATTTGCCTGAAGTGGAACTCTGGAAAAACAACTCAGAAATTCAGTTAACTTATGTTGATGCAAATGAACACAAAAAATGAAATAAAATGAAATGATTGCATAATTAACTATTTCTGTGTTCACGAAGAACATTATGTGCAGAATAGAAAGCTTTATTTTCTCTACCAGGCTGTGGACAAGAAATGATTAAAACAAAGAAACTACTTTGACTTGGAAGGGCAGTAGTCGAAACCTTATAATAAAAACGTCGTTGTAATGTCATTTCAAAATGAAACAATAAAATTATAACTGTTTATACGCTTTTGAACCCTTTATTTCAGGGTAATGTACCTGCTTTTGTCATGGCGACAACTGGATCAACCGTTTTAGGATCATGCGATGACCTGAATGCAATTGCAGATGTATGCGAAAAGCACAAAATATGGATGCATGTTGATGTAAGTAAAGTGACATCTCGTCTTGTGAAACATACTTTAGATTTCAGGTCAACAAGTCAGCGACCAGAAGTTGATTTTTCACATCAAAATATTATTTCCCGAACTTTGATGCTTTTTATCATAGTTTTCCATATTTATGATTTATAAGCAGATTTCAAATTACGTACACATGGCCTAAGTGCATTTTGGTTCGAATGTATCTTAAAAGAATAATAAAGATCATTATTGGAACATAACCCTTAAATGAAGTTTATTGCTTCTTGTCAAGGGTTACTGGTTTTAAAACTACCCCACCTTCAGCTTAAAACCGTTAATGCTAAATTAATATTGCACCGAACTCATCCTCTGGTGAAGCATTAAATAGGATATTCTTTGGAAATATGTAAAGTTTACCTCATAAAATTAAAGTGTTTTTTTTTTAATTTTTGAAAACTAAGTTGCATCTTATTACACTTTAAGCAGTAGAGCACAGCTTTTGTTATCTATTTCATTACATTTATCTACTTGAGACCTGGGGTGTTTTCAATAACCGTGAACCAAGGTCAAAGACCAGGTTTTAGTGGAATATGAATTATGTCTACGAACATTAAAGTTATATATGTTTTTGAAGATTGTTAAGAGGAAATGGCATTAATTTGAACATAGATCAATTAGACGGGGTCCTGTCCGGTTCAGGAAGAAAATCTGGAATATAACTTTATAATACTTGTAATAATGGAACATAAAAAGGTCATATCTTACTCAAAATTGTACATGATCAGATGATCCCCTGTCATAATCCTAAGCCAGGGTTATTTGGACCAGGTCAATACTACATGAGTTTAAATCTTGCTCAGGGATGGAATTGTTATGCTGGGATTGTAGAAGCTCACAAAGTAAAAGCTAACACATAGATTGCTAATTGAATTGTATCAATCTCAATCATCAAAATTCATCAACATGAATGCCACAGGAGTTTGTATTGGATATTTTTTTCTCCATCTTCTACTTTATTTATTATCATTAGATGGCAGAGTTCTTTTGAAATATGTTATAGGAAGTCCTTTATTGAGTTGTATTATTAAAAACAGTTTTATTACGACAGCTCTAGCTACCTATATGCGTACATGCATATGCGCAAACTAAACTGGCAGCATGTTTGTTAACGAGTAGCAATCTGTTTTCTGCGATAATTAAAATAAATATGCAGATTGGTGACGGTATCTTTGAAAATATCTTAATCGAGAAAATACGCATGAATTTTTCATACTTTCATTGAAATATCATGCATTACACGATGACTATGATTAACGAAGAGTTCATGAATATTTTACCTCAGTATTATCGAAAGATCTTGAAAGTATACGCTTGACAAAGAATAGGTAAAAAAAATTGCTCAATGACTACGCTTGTTTGTTTTTCATTTCTTAAGTACATGTAAATTGATCCTGATGCATTGTTTTCATTTAACATATTGCTGAAAAAGCGTCAGGAAGCTCAGTCGGTAGAGCGCTCGCTCTGTGATCTAAAGGTCGTGTGTTCGAATCACGGCCGCAACTGACCTAAGTCGATAAAAAATAGGTAGCAACTGTTCCTTCGCCAAGCGCTCGGCACTTTGAAGTGAAAGTTGCGGGTCTTTCGAATGAGACCTTAAAACTGAGGCCCCATGTCACGGTAGGCGTTGGCACGATAAAGAACCCTCACTGCTCAATGGCCCTGAGTGCCGAGTAAAGGTCTAAGTTTGAAGCCCTACATCGCTGTATGGTGACGTCTCTATATGAGTGAAAAATTCTTGAATGGGACGTTAAATAACATTCAATCAATCAATCAGTCAGTCATGTTGCTTAAGATTTGGAAAAGCCAAACTGCATTTTAAGGGGGCCGACTGGGGTTTTCATTGCGCAATACTTCACGCAGCATAGTAAAATAAAGCGTATTTACTTTTTAAAGCAACTAATTTTTACATAATTTATGAAAATTAACAAAATTAGGAAATCTCAAGTTAAAAAATCTAATTACGTTTTTAAATAACTCATTTTTAAAAGATTTTTCAAATGATGGTTAGATAGACGTCGTAATAGTGTGGTTTTGACGTTATGAATAACCGAAGTTCTTTAAGAGGGGTAATTAATAATATCATAAAATAAAAAATATATAATGGATGCTCTTGAAATTTTAAACATAGGAAATTGAGAATCTCACAATCATTTTTTATATTTTTTTATATGAATCTGTGGTATCCGTGATGTTTTGTAGTACTCTATAAAAACAGGAAAATATCATGAATTTTGACATTTTGAGATGTCCCCTCTGGAAATCAGACGGTAGAATTTTGTGTTTCTTGCACAAAATGTACAATATAGTATTACTCATCAAATAATAAAATTTGAGCAAAAAGTCTATAGTAGTATTTGTATAATTTGCTCCGAAGAGCGAAAAAATGGTATTTTCCTATATAATCCTATAGTAAATGTACCTGTATTTTGAGACGGTCCCTCAAAAATAACCAGACGGTAGATTTTCACTAAACTTGGCATGTATACTGAAGTCAATGTAAGGTATATATGGTATAAAATTAAAGAGTTTCTCTATAGTAGTTTTCACACTATAAAACCCCAGTCGGCTCCCTTAAATAATTGTATTCCTCCTCTTTCCATGAAATCTTAGGTTTAAAGAATAAAACTTTTTGAAGGAAGTGAAAAATTATTTGTATTTTTTCTTTATCGAAAAAAGGGTCCGTAAATCATAAATTAACACATGCATGTATTTTCTAGCTATAGTCTCTGTTGTTAAATACTATGCTGTTTCTGTTTAAAGGCTGCCTGGGGTGGAGGTGTTATTCTTTCTGAAAAGCACAAACATTTAATGAACGGAGTACACAGGTGAGTTCATCGGTTTGGGGACCAACTTCATTTGAAAAGATATAACTTCAGACAATGATGCAATCTGTTGTTAAATCTCTGAAAGCTGAGATGGTTAAAGGCCGAAAAAATATTGCGTTCTACATTTCTAGCTTCTTCTTTTTTCTTTTTTTCTTTTTTTGCATGCACAATTTAGATATGCAATAAAATGTTTATTTCTATAATTTAAAATTTACGTATTTCAGATATTCATGTACAATAAATCTTGAACAAGTTCTTTTTTATCCTTTCTGAAAGAACATTTTCAGAGGGAGACTGGTTTTTTAAATTTAGGGGGGGGGGATTGGGGGATACAACCTAGTCCTTGTTTTAATTTGAAAATGAAATTGAAAGTTTATGATTGATAAAAGTTTATTATATACCAGTATGTCGTAACTATAACAGGTGGTCATTAGGAGGCTAATGGTGGATATAAATGTTTTGTTCCAAAAGTTTATCATTTCTAATATACATGTTCAAGGTCATTTGACTCTCGTCGAAGTCATTTTTAAAAAACATATTACCGGGTAAATCTTTATGTTTTTTTCAATTCATCGAAAAAGAAATTTTACAAGCACAGAATAAAAGAAAACTTTAATTTTATTGTACCAGAAAGTGCAATGTATTCCTCAAATGTCAATTTTGGAAAGTTCCAGATATATTGTAGATTTTCTGACAGTGCATTTTTTGATAACGTGTGTTACAACGCACTTTGAAAAATTACGCACTTTGAAAATTTTTTTCAAAGTACGTAAATTTTGGGACAACGTTAACGCACTTTGAAAAAAAAATATTTCTTTTCAAAGCGCGTTAATATCGACCATATTAACGCACTTTGAAAAAAAAATGTGCACGGCTTGGTCAATATTCTTGCAAATTTTAGGTATGATAAATAATTATTTGAAGCTGGTTGGATAACTTTTCGGTGATGACGTCCGAATCTGAGATATAGTCGTTTATATTTTTAGGAGTTGTCTTTTTCCAAAGGTTCTCGTAACTGTTTTAAAAGGGAAATGGGTCTTAGAAATAATGGAGGAATGATTGTTTAATATAGCACAGTTTCGTTTCTTTTTTTCTTTTCTTTTTCAAATTTTATCCAGTTTCTAATAAGTTCGGTAGATGTAGGTGTCGATAAGTGACTTAAAACATTGATTTTTCTTAGGGAAAAGGGAGCAATTATGATTTTTCAATACCATGAAAATTCTCTCTCTCTCACTCTAACTCTCTCTCTCACTCTATATATATATATTTTCTATCATATCCATCTATCTATCTATTGTGAATATATATGAAATAATGGTTGACTCATTTATTTGATAGGAAGAAAATAAACCTTAGCCACATTACTCACTCGACTGAAATTTTTACCTCGTTCACTAGTAACTTTTTCTCCAAAAAAGTTATGCAGTCAGATTACTTCTAAATCTGTAATTTGATATCATAAAAACGCTAGACATGTCAAATAGCATGTTTTAATTACCATGTAAATGCATTTTTTTCTGAGGAATCATTATGGATACATTTTGAATAAAGGTTATGCGGCTCTCTTCTTTAATATAATAGGGTGCGTAATTTTTTTTTCAGGAAATCTTATCTCAATTTTTTCATCTATTTTACGTTAACTCAAATTTATTGAGAGAAATGATATCAATGCCATACCAGTTATGTAAATACATATATTTGTGTAGGAAAGACAGAGAGTTGGGCTGAGGGACTTTCTGTACCTGTCTTCTCTTCGTTCTCGATGAGGGTAGATCAATTCATCAGTTTTTCGGAAGAAATATAACAAATTAATGCTTTCTTTTGTTAAAATATAAGTCCAGAATTTTTGTTTGTATTTTTTCAAAGTGCGTTAAGTGTCTCCATGGTAAAAAATGTTGATGTACACTCTTAACGCACTTTGAAAAAAAAAATCAAAGTGCGTTGATTTTGTCCAAAATTTAACGCACTTTGAAAATTTTTTTCAAAGTGCGTTGATTTTGTCCCAATTTTAACGCACTTTGAAAAATTTTTTCAAAGTGCGTAATTTTTTCAAAGTGCGTTGCCACAAACGTGGCCGTTCTTCTTTTTTTATAAGCTCTTTAAAAAAGTATACTAATGACATACATTTCATAGACTTAAATTTTCTATTATAATAAATTATCTAAACCCCAGTGGGTCTTTGTTATACTTCACTATAATTGTAAATACCTTTTATTCTTCAGAGCAGATTCGGTAGCTTGGAACATTCATAAAATGAGCACTGGTCTTATTCAATGCTCTTTGTTTTTGGTCAAGAAAAAGGTAAAGTGTATTTCATAATAAGTAACCATTCAGGATTGCTAAGCATGTATTTATTAGTTTAATTGCTCATTGTTGTAGAAATGTCCAGGTAACATTGAACACTTAAATACAGTAATTCAGAGTAAAAAAAAAAACTCGTGCAAACTATTTCATACATTTGGTTTAAATAGTCCTTAAATGAACAATTCCCCAGGCCAAGCTGTGTCAAAGAAGGAGTCCAAAGTTAGGAAAATATACGAATACTTTTCTTCCACACGTGTTGTCTTCTAGGAAAACAAGGGTGTATTTTGTATAGCGATCAACCTCTTCACGTAGATAATCTGGCGAACGAAATTTTGTGATGAAGCTATAGACCATCAAAGTCTAGAGGGACATGTATGCTGGTTAAGCAACGCCGTGTCAACTTAATGGCCTTGAAATTAACACTCAAATGTTATGAATGTTATATTTTGTGTTTTAAATCCTTACTATTCAATTTTCAGGGGCAGTTAGAGGAATGTAATAGATTCAACGCTGAATATTTGTTTCAACCTGACAAACACTATGATGTGTCTTATGATATCGGTTTGTTTTATACTTTGAACTGTCAAACTTGATTATAGTATTTAAATGATAAGTTAGGATCATTACACACTTTATTAGTCCCCTACCGATGAAACCGGAGGGGACTATAGGTTTCCTCTGCGTCTGTCTGTCCGTCTGTCTGTCTGTCTGTCTGTCTGTGTAGCTCTCCCTCTGTCTGTCTGTCAGTCTTGGTTTTCAGCACTTTGTTCCTAAACGCTTGCAGATATTGAGCTGATTTTTGGTATGTGAGTGAATTTTGATGAGTTACAGATCAAGTTTGCATTTCGTTTTGCTTCATTGATTTTTGACGGAATTACGGCCTTTTCAACTTTTAAGGGTTTTCCGCCAATTTTCTTCTAAACGCTTTCAGATATTGAGCTGATTTTTGGTACATGACTTATCCTTGATTAGTTATAGGTCAGGTTTGCATTTCGTTCAGCTTCATTGATTTTTGATGGAATTATGGCATTTTCAATTTTTAACAGGAACCAGATTTCACTTGCCGTTAGGGGACTAGTATTGCTAATGCAATACTCTCAGAATGCTTGTTCATGTTATTAGTCCCCTACCGGTGAAACCGGAGGGGACTATAGGTTTCCTCTGAGTCTGTCCGTCCGTCTGTCTGTCTAGCTGTCCCTCTGTCTGTCTGTCAGTCTGTCCCACTTGGTTTTCTGCACTTTTTTCTTAACGCTTGCAGATATTGAGCTGATTTTTGGTATGTGAGTGTATCTTGATAAGTTACAGATCAAGTTTGCATTTCGTTCCGCTTCATTGATTTTTGACGGAATTATGGCCTTTTCAATTTTTAAGGGTTTTCCGCAATTTTCTTCTAAACGCTTTCAGATATTGAGCTGATATTTGGTATATGACTTTACCTTGATTACTTATAGATCAAATTTGCATTTCGTCCCGCTTCATTGATTTTAGACGGAATTATGGCATTTTCAATTCTAAACGGGAACCAGATTACACTTGCCGTTAGGGGACTAATATTGCTAATGCAATACTCCCAGAATGCTTGTTTGATATGAGTTTTGATAGGAAATTCCCAAGTTTAGAAGCAAATTTCAAGAAATTCTCTGATTCCATCCTATTCAAGTATGATATCTGTGTATTCAGTATTCCGACAACACCGAGTAAACATATTCTTTTATACAGCATAATACTAGATAGATAGAAATTGTAGATGAAAGAGATGAAGATAACGAAGTGATCACAGGTCCTCTGTCTTGATCAGGTAAACGGAGTAAAAAGTAGTATAAAAGTCAAAAGTAGTTTAAAAACAATGGTCTAACAATTAATGTAAAACATGCCAGTCAAAATACGACCAACGATAGTTGTACTTGCAAACGAGGTCATAATATGCGAAATGCAGAGTTTATATGAGATTATTGGAAGCCATGTTACATCAATTTATTCGTCAGTAGCCTGCCTTTGCTTATAATAAATCATGCTCACTGAATGTTTTTGGGAGACAAAAACATCGTATACAGGTAAATGTTACTTCATAAATAAGGGAAGTTGACGATGGAAAAACTAAATTCGTCCCATTTGTCATATAGTTTAATTGTTAGTTGGCCGTTAATATCAATAATCAGTAAAACATCCTGATTCGAAACAGATATGTAGTATACTCTGAGCTGTCAAGTGCACTATATTATATTGATTCGACGTACGAGGGATGATCAAAAAGTTCGCGAACTATCTCTATATTTTCAAAACCACGATTCAGATCAGAATGAACTTTGGCACACATTTAGTCGTACAATTGTTCTATAAATAGCTATGTTATGTGATGTTTCGCTCCATGTTTGTGACGTCACAATGTGAAAATGACGTCTATATATAGAGGACTTGTGACAAAAAATGGTTGACTCAGTTGTACTCGAGCAACGAAAGGCTGTAGAGTTTTCGTATATCTTGGAAATTCCTTTGCAGTAACATATAGTAATTTGTACAAGGTTTATGAAGACAAAAGACTTGCCAGAAGTTCAATCATTAATTGGATTGATTGTTTTAGTGAAGGAAGGGAGATAGTTAAAAATGATGTTTGTTCTGTTGCCCAGTTAAAGCTAGCTGCAATAATGTAGCCCTCTCCGAATTTTTTTTTTTTTTTTTTTTTTTTTTTTTTTTTTTTTTGGGAGAGGGCTACAACTCCTTAGGATCTCCGTAATGGTGCAAGTGCGGGAGTGATTCACTACCGCACAGATTTCGGCTCAAATTATCAGTAAATGGGAATTTTATTAACATATCTTACCTGAACTCATAAAATGTAGTTATGCAAGACATGAATTGATCCAAAAATATACAGAACAATCCGTATATCGGTTATTTTTCGCGTATGTCAACATCACAACTTGAATTTATCCGCCATGTTTACTGACCTTGATCGATTTTATTTTGGGACAACCAATGAGAATTCGGGGTCTAGGGGAGCGGATCGTTTAGGATTTCCCTTATTTTAAGCATAAATATCACTGTTTATGAAAAAAAATATCGCATGGAATGCTTTTATTTATCCATGTTTAGTGATATCTTTCAACACAAACATTTATCAACACCGACATTTACTTTATCAAGTGATTCTAAATTTCAAGCGCAAGTCTCTGTACATCACGCGAGAACTGTCATGGCTTCTGAGGAGAACGACTGGTAAACATGCAGATTTATTTTACTTGGTTTTCGCGTATAAAGGGCTATGATGTTGATAGTGAATAAAAATTACGTCTTATTGGAAGTAAGTTGAATGCAAAAAACATTTATTTTGCCTGCAGTCGCCCGTATCTAAAAAATATATTTGCACCATTACGGAGATGCAGTGGAATTGTAGCCCTCTCCTGAAAATATCAGATTAAGAAAAATCGGAGAGGGCCACATTATTGCAGCTCAGTTAAAGCAAGCTGGGGAAGAGATGTGTCCTTAGTTGAGCAATTTGTTATGAAAGATCGCCAAGTTAGAAAAATAGTTGAATATCTTAACAATAATATAATTATTAAATCCCTAAAATATCGTTTACTTTAGACTTTAAACATATCAGATATGATAGAAAAAAGGCGCCCATGCTTTATCCACATTGGATAAACGACGCTCCCAAGACAGAGGACCCGGGTTTTGATGGCTACCATGCTCATTCTGGGAAATGATATCCTTATCCACCCATCCTATTGTAAAGATTTAGCCATTCCTGACAAGTGGGCTGTTCTTGTTATAAAAAAAAAACTTTCACTGTAAGAAATATAAGACTCGGGAAAATCTTTAAGCTTCTGTGAACAGAACGCTACGGAGCATGTCACGTGACCGCCTGGATCACGTGATTCGCGCATGGGCAGAACGGTGGCAGATGTGTTTTAAAATCGGCGAGGACTACTTCACTGAAACCTAATTTTATTTCCTTTATGGAAGCAATTCAATTAGTTCGCGAACTTTTTGATCACCCCTCGTATAAATGAAAATAGTTATAATTGTTATTTGATGAAACGTCAGTGTAACTAAATGTTGATTTGAAGGCCACAGCAAGAGTTTTTCTCCACTTCTCATGTAGAGGTTTTTGAATATATTTTGCTTCATAAGAATATAAAAACAGGTCGGCTAATAAAGGGCACAATTAGTCCCATCGGAATTCCAGCAGATTTTGAAGAACTAATCTCCAAAGAGTACATCAATATTGTCAATGAGGAATTCCAGCATCCTCTTGATATTAACATCAGATTACATATGTGTAGAAGATCCCCTGTTATGGCCCCTCTTTTCTCCAGGGGGGGGTCATGATTTGAACAAATTTAAATCTACATTACCTGAGTATGCTTTTATATTATTATGACCAATCATGGCTTTGCTGTTCTTGAGAAGAGAATGTTTTAACAAAGTAATTTTGTAGATGACCAATCACAAGATATGTTCGAGTTCCATTTTTATCGAAGAAGCTAATGTCTATGATGTTAAAAAGCCCGGTCTTTTAGTTTTTTTTGTGAGAATGGTTGTATCAAGTGTAGAATATCAAAGGTTTTGATGTTATTTGTTCAGAAAAAACTTAAGTTACAGTATTTAAAATGAATGCTAAAAATCATAAATTGTAGTCGCAATACAACTTTTGTATTTTAATCTCAGCAAACACGTGTACTCAATATCAAGAATCTCGTGCTTGTAACTGTCCCGATTGTCAAAACTTAAAACATCTATTTTATGACATTTCTAGAAGACACTGTTCGTATCAATTCTCATTAATTCTGGTTTGATTTTAGGAGACAAAACGATACAATGTGGACGTAAAGTGGACATATTCAAATTATGGTTGATGTGGAGATCACGAGGCGATACTGGGATGGCAAAGCAGGTTGAAAATTCCTTTGAAAATGCCAAGTAAGTCCCTATTATCTAAATAAATCATACTACATGTAAATAAATAATTAAAAATCAGCGTTTTTTATCTCTGAAATATTGTCAAGATGATTTTTGTTTAAGATGAGTTGTGTGTTCTAAAACGTTTATGTATTGCTAAATGTTTCCTCTCTCCGTCTCTTTGTCTTTATTGTTTTCCCCCAAAATGTCTCTACAACAGTGTAGGTCTAATTTTGAGGAATAATTATGTCATGAATAACAAAATGTATTTTTTCCCGAAATTGTTTCAACTAAGTATACACAATTTTGGCCAAATTTCAACAAATATGGTACACAGGCATACTACAAAAAAAGCACAAATGTTGCCATGGTTACTTATGATTTCATGTAAATTGCTGCTCGGGTAGACTATTTCAAGGCTCGTTATTCAGTCTGTATATCGCTTTTGAATTTTGGTGCATGATTCATGTGTTGCAATTACTACAAAAAAGAATAATCTTATAAATTTTTTCAAAATACTGTACTTTCTATACTTTGGATAAATTTTATTTTTAAAAAATGTAGAATATTAGAAAACAACAGAATACGAAAGTAAAAACTTTCAACAAAAAAACAACAACCTAGAATTAAAACTTTTTAAAAGTTATTCAAGTTTTAAGTACAAATTCGTAGAGCTACAGTCTCTTCAGTTCTACTCATGTTATCACTCAGTGATCGGAAGGTCGTGTGTTCGAATCACGGCCTCGACTAACCAAATTTCGATAAAAAATAGGTAGCAACTGTTCCTTCACCTAGCGTTCGGCACTTTGAAGTGAAAGTTGCGGGTCTTTCGGATGAGACCTTAAAAACTGAGGCCCCATGTCACGGTAGGCGTTATCATGATAGAGAACCCTCACTGCTCAATGGCCTGAGTGCCGAGTAAAGGTCTAAATTTGAAGCCTTTCATCGGTGTAAGGTGACGTTTCTATATGAGTAAAAATTCTCGAACGGGACGTAAAACAACATACTATCAATCGATCAATCAAGGGCCAAATTTAGGGAACCCCGATCTTCTAACTGGCGTCATATTTTCATAAATATTATGGATTCTGTGGAAGATTACACCAGGCGATGGGCCAGACATCAACAAGAAGACCTTTACACGTTGTCAGAATGGATTAAATGTATCAGATGTATGTTAAAATCTTGCATTAAGCGATTGAGGGGCAAAATGAAAACCAACTATCCTTCTGTGTTCAATAATTCAGAAGTGAAAAAAGAATTAGATAGATTACACGATCAGTTTGTACTAGTCCCTGCTGACAAAGCAGGCAACAACATTGTCTTTGTTTGTAAGGCTCAATATTTAAATTGTATTTTAGAGGAACTGGGATTTGATTCTTCAAGTGGTAATCCAACTTATACCCATAGATCCCTTTCTAAGGAGGAGATTCTTCAAAATTATATGTCAGTTTTGAATATTTTTTAATATTCCCAACAACCAAAGTGAATTTGAATTACCATATCTATATTGGATTCCGAATCTTCAAAAAAATCCTTACAAACAAAGATACATAGTGGGTTCCAGTAAATGTTCTACCAAGCCTCTTTCTGTACCCCTCACTAAAACATTAACAGTAGTGACGGAGAAACTTCAGGAGTACTGTGCAACAATATATTCGAGAAGTGGTGTAAATCAGATGTGGAACTTTTGAAAACTTGAAATTACAAAATTTTACCATAATCAACAACATAAAAACTTACAACTTTTCAACTTTATATACAACCATTCCTCACGATAAATTAAAGTCTAGGCTTTTTGACATCATTGACAGCTGCTTTTACAATAAAAATGGAACTCGTAAATTTACTTACCTTGTCATTGGTCAATTGCAAAATTATTGTATTTGCAAAATTACTTTGTTAAAAAACAATCTGATCGTACACACAAGTACTCTGAAGTTGATATTAAAAGGATGCTTGAGTTTCTGATTGACAATGTCTATGTGGTTTTTGGAGAACAGGTCTTTTAACAAACTATTGGTATTCTCATGGGTAGCAATTGCGCTCGTTATTAGCAGACCTATATTTGTATTCATATGAAGCAGAATTTGTTCAGAATCTTATACATGAAAAGAAGAAAACACTTGCTGTGGCCTTCAACTCGACATTTAGATATATCGACGACGTATTGTCAATTAACAAGGGTTATTGCCATTCTTATGTCGATACGATACATCCCAGTGAGCATGAAATAAAAGATACCACAGGGTCTGACACATCTGTTTCATATTTGGATATTTTACTAAAAAAAGACGTTAATGGTAATCTAACAACAAAGCTTTATGATAAACGTATTGACTTTAACTTTTCAATCGTCAACTTCCTTTGCTTATGCAGCAATATACCTTTATCACCTGCATACGGGATTTATATCTCTCAGTTGATTCGATACGCAAGAGCATGCTCTACGTATGAACAATTTCTAAAACGAGGTAGGTTATTGACAAACAAGTTGATGAAACAAGAATATCAACAGTCTCGTTTAAAATCATCATTTCGTAAGTTCTATGGTCGAAACAATGTCCTTGTCAGCAAATACAATTTATTATGAAGTCAAATGCTGGCTGACGATTTTCATACTAATTGTTAGACCATTATTTACACACTGAATTGACGACGGATTTTTCCGTGATTTCCCGATCATGACAAGGAGCACACGGCGGGTGTGACCGGTCGGCAGGGGATGCTCACTCCTCCATGGCACCTGATCCCACCTGGACTTTTAAGCTTGAATACTGTTCGTTATTTCCATATATTTCATTATCACATGAGTCCTAAATAATAAAAAACATTTGGAATAAAAATTGAAAGATAATTTCTTTTACTTTAAAGGCATCTTTTAGATGGATTGAAGAGAAGAGAAGGGTTCCGTGTTGTTCTGCCAGAGGTTAGTTGATTTTTACATGATTTTGTCAGTAAATAAGTCCTTTAATTGCAATGGGTAACGTATATACAAGCCCCTACATGAAGAATACATTTTTAATACTAGTATTTGAATTTCCATGGAAGGCAACTAATATCATGCTTATTATCAATAATAATTGATATCCATAATCTATTGGATAGATGCACTAAATATTTTCCTAAATACATGTACATTCTGATTTTCTATTACTTACAATATTTTTTTTAAAACAATCGATGACATATTTTCCTAGTTTCAGTGCCCTAACATTTGTTTCTGGTATATACCCAAGAGACTCAGAGGAAAAGAGGAAAATAAAGAATGGTGGGGAGAAATATCAAAGGTAAATACAATGAGCATAGCATTGATATATAATTGACTTTTACTGCATAGTATTGACATTTGATAGTCTTTAACAAATAAATGACAGTAACAGTAACATTGAATTAAATTGAACAACATTCATATCTACTGGGTCAATTGAAATTATTCAAAACTGAAGTCAATGAGCATATTGTCTTGTAAACCAGTATTTTGTTTCTTACGAAGGACTTCAGTACATTTTTAAGACAGGTCCTTAATATGTCAGCAGTTAATGTTATTGGAAGCGGTAATGAAAGGTGTAACTTCGCCAAAAGGAAATGTTGTACTTCAGATGAAGAAGTGAACAAAATTCTTGCGCACGTTCCACACCACGCAACCGTATATAAATATCTGCATTTCAAAGTGAACCAAAGAAAGGCTCCAAATGACTTTTTAAAATACTTTTTTAAAAAAAAGCTGCGAACCCATACAAAGTAGTAACGTCTTGGGTTGCATGAAATATGAAGATAACTAATAGTAATCAAGCTCAAAGTCCATTTAAACAATACAAATTTGGAGCATAGCAAATAAAGACCTCTAAAAGCATCAGGGGTGGGAGCAGGTGCCATGGAGGAGTAAGCATCCCCTGTCGACTGTGATCAACTGTGATTGGCCGCGCCCATTAAGTCATATGTATAAAGTTTGAATTAAATTTCAGATAACCAATACTGCCTGTTTTGAATTATGATATGTCGTACACGGTAAATCTAAATTTCAATTTTAGTTATAAGCAAGGACAATGCACTTTGTAAAAGAGATGTTTCCCTGTTATTTAATTATGAATTGCAGATTGCTCCTCAGATCAAACGTAAAATGATGGAACAAGGAACAATGATGATTGGCTACAATCCTTTGACGACCAAGGGATATGTCAATTTCTTCCGTGTAATCATTACAAATCCAATGGCTACTAAAGAAGACATGGATTTTATACTCGATGAAATGGATCGCCTTGGAAGTGATCTATAACAATGAAGAAAGAATAGTTTGAGGACAAATTATTCAGTGGAAATACCTCAATTTTTCCTTTTCCTTTTGAGTGCTTTGCTGATAAGTAAATGTAATAAATATGAAATAAAGTCTCAAAATCACTTAAATTGCTTTCATAATTAATGTCTCTTGGTTTTTTTCCCAATTTTATAAAGATTGAAGTTATGAACCTAAAAATGAAAATGTTTAGCGAGAAGAAATTGCAACCATAGCTATGTCAATAACTTGTGGTCAACTTTGGACTGAATTAGCTATCGAAACCTTCGTTAGAGGAAATAAGATTCTTACAAAATTGTACACACTAAAAGTAGTATTCTGAGGAGAACATTTTTAATTATCTCATGACACCAGGTCAAAATGTTTCATCATGATTTTGTACCTAAAGATAAAATGTAAGTTTAAAAAGCCCAAATGATGAAAGGATATTTTCAAACCCATTTTGGGGAAAAACATTATCTAAGATCTCGTAGTAAGCCATTTAAAAATTCACTCATATGAAACATTCGAAATTGAGTAGATGTGGCTATTCCTTACAAGGTTTTTTTTAAAGAATTAATAAATTGTCATGTAAAGGAAGTATTGATTTGACGTCAGAAGGTTGTAAGAACTCATGTAGGCATTTTTTATTTGTATTAATATTAGTTAGATTTTCAAGTAAAACAATTGTTTATTTCTTCTTTGATTATGCCATCGTTTCTTTAAAGTACATGTAAACGTTTTCGGTCATTTTATATGAAATATAACATTGAAATATTGGAATGATTTTTCGTAGGTATTTTATAGTTTTGTTATGACTTTTAAAGTGATCATCCACAATCAAAATTCATATGCTTTGTTTAAAGCAAAGTTGATTCCGTCATACTTGGCACAACATTGTCATCCCCTCTTTACGTCAAGTATCATGTTTTCAAAGTACAAAAGTGTATAAAACTATACAAACCGAGAGTAAAGCAAACATGAACCTAACAAAATATCAGAGGTGGATCAACTGAGAGACATAAACATCATACGCATTTCAAAACGTTTTATTGCTACAAAGATAAAGGAATTTAACAATTAAAAAAGTCATTGCTATAGTATCTTTTATTTTGAGTTCAGTGACATATATCGAATCAATGTATAAATAAACCTGAATATTGTTAATTGATAAAACGTTGTCGTTTTAATTGAATGTTGAATCAAATCACACAGTAACAGACTTCTTATTTTCCTGTAAGTTTTGGATAAGTTCTGCGTCATAGGAGTACAAAATCAAGCTTGCTTATAAAGGGGCACAATTAAATCCCATTGGATTTCAAAGTATTGTTGGAAGACTTGCTCGACCTCCAAACACTTCATAGATATTGTCAATGAGTAAATGTATATATTTTTTTGTGAATCCCGCTCAATTGGTAGCTTTCTAATATGAAATCAACACAATTTTGTTAATTAAGTGAATTATATTCATTTCTTTAAATGTATTCCATGTTTTACAATGAACCTTTGGTGGCTGGGGAGTTTGATATAAGCGATAACTGCTGAAGAATAAAGCGTTTAAAAATTTAACTTTTGACAATTTCCCCTTAGACTGCACGTGATTTTTGAAACTTGCTCATTTTGCATTTTCGCTTTATCTAGATTACACATCTGGGTTAAAACTAACCAAGATATATCGTAACACTTTTTCATTGGATTTGGTTTTTTCTTTTATTAAATGACACTGTAAATACATTAAAAACAAGTACAGACTTTTACACACGACACTGTCTGGGGTAGACTACCCCTTTTTTATGTATTGAAGTAATGTTCACTGGAAAAAGACAGATAAAAGATATTTACAAGTCGCTCTTTTACTACACACGTGTTCTTATTTTGAACTCATCAACAACTGGTTATTACGCTGGCTGTGATTGGTCGAAAAAATTTCCAACGTTGCAGCACATTGAAATCCATTAGTTCACCGAAATTTCTTGGTACGAGATCGGTGAATTCGTTTCTTCAAGATTGTAATAATATTTATTACATCAAATATTTTCTCAAATGAGGTGACATTTTAATTATGAGTGGACCAGTTTTGTGGACGATTTGTATATCTCTCTTCCTTTGCACCAATATATTGTCCGGTCAAGAAGTGTCTGGTAAGTGCTACTGCATTGCTCGAATTTGTTAAAAGTTGTCTTCATCCTGCGTTGTGAAGAGCTCATGGAAATGCTTTGCTATGCAAAATGGTGCAAAATAATTTTGAAACTGATAATTGAAGATATTTTGCCCAATTGATTTACACTATTCCACCTAAAATTAGACCGAGAGTATATGCGCTTCAGATTTGCACAATAAATCACAAAGCATTCGATTAATCATTTTTATAACATTGATAGGTGTAGTGTAAAGCATGTCTTGCAAAGAATATGCAGTAAAACATGAATCATCAAAGTACTGGGAAAACATGCAAATCAAAGGCTACTGCAGTCTGATATTTTTGTGTTACAAGACTAGAAATGGTCGATCTATAATATTCGAAGGACGGAAAACAATATACTAACAAATCAAATATAATTAATCTAAATTGATACTTTATTTCTTTAGTTGCACCACTCAACAAAGCATTTAGACACTTACCTCGAAAGAATTTTATGCCTCCGATATTGTTTCTTTTGCTTTTTGCTGATAATATGTTTCGTTTAAGCTACGTAGTGCAGACACAAATCCGCGATGATGATCGTCTCGAGACGTTCATCTTTATGCGGTATAATTCTTATTTACTACTGAATCTACTGAGTTTTGATTGTTCGCAATTTTTTAATACTCTTTACATGTATGTAGGAATAATAGCACGTTTCAATTTGAAATTAATACGAAGGGGGTTATTCCTGTTCTGCAAATTCGTCGTCAGCGGTAGAAACGGCGTGTATACTACATTTCTATTCTACAGGATAACCTTAATTAGCAGAGAAAAATTTATTCATAAAACCGTTAAACAATGGAACATTCTTATATGTATTCTTTTTGTTATTTATTCAAAATGGCTGACATATTCAATATGGCTGCTATATCTATATCAATCTCTTAAAAACTTGGTAAGAATTTAACACCAGAACGATCAAAGTACTAAAGGTACTGATAGTTCTAAGCTTCAACAAATGTTTTCTACCATTGATGAATTCCAATCACCAGTATCATTCAATTGAGATTTAATTTGATTCCATGGCTGCCATTTTACATAATTTTGCATTTTAGCATATAAATGCTGTTCTTCAACTTTTTCTTTTTAGAACTCTACATATGGGATGCATAACTGAGTTAACGTATTTCGATCTAAGACACTACTTTTTCTTATTTTGCCTTTAGTTATTTTAGTTTCTCGACGAGTTGGATATGTTCTGATTTTGTGCATTCTTTAGCATTAAACTATTGGCTTGTTTGCGCTAATTTTTATTATCATCCATCTTCATTACACCAAATAATAAAATTAGCCCTTAGTATCCTAAAATCAAGATCTAAATTTAAAAAAACTGTTGAATCTGTCTCAACCGGTATGCTTCTTTAGCGTCGCTTTTTTATCTGATTTGATCTATAAAAATTTTATGAGTTATTTGGGATTTACTTACCCTGATTTACATATATTCTGTGTTTTATTCTGAATTCTTTTAATGATATCTAATCTGTTCTTTTAGTTGATTTTTTTGAAGAAAAAATTCGTTTAAATCATTGAAAATCAGTAATGGAATATCAAGACATTATTTTATCACATTCTAAAATACTGAAGGAGATATTCCTGGGATATAAAGAATAAATCTGAATTGGTTATTTAATGTTAACGTTCTTATCTCTCATCCTTATCTCTACTCATGTCTGTACAGCGCCGAGTTTACAGAACTCATGGGAGGTCGAGCATTAAAGGTTCACATGACCCACTTTTCAAATTTAGAACGTGGATGCTTCAACAAATCAAGAATTGGAGCACTAGAAAATGCCAGCTTGGCATCGTATAATTCATTGACCTATAGGATAAAGCTGAGTATTGGAATGAAGTTGAAGTCGGCTTAATGAGTTGGATTTAGTTTTCAAGATAGTTTGCAAGTGCATGCTATAGGATCCCTTTGTTTTTTTTTTAATTTTTTTTAAAAAAAAGTCCATGGTTTCTACATCTTACTCATTTGATTTAATCAAATATAATTTAGTGTTATGAATTGGTACGTTTTGCAAGTGACAATATAGGACATTAGGACTTAAAAGGTTAATGTATCAAAATATTTGCTTTTCAAAGATTATTTTCAATATCTTAATGCAAAAACAAAAAGAAACCAGCATGTTTGCTGTACTGTGTATTGACTTTGACCTTTTTGCACTCAAATTTATTTTGGATCATTAAGATTCAAACAAAAAATGCAAAAAATATACCAAGCATTTATCATTGCTCACGAAAATATTTACAGCTGTAAAAAGAGACTTCAACAGTACTGTTCTACACAAATGCGAGAAGTTGTGTTTACCAAATTTAGAAATTGAAAAAATCTCTAAAGAACCTTAAGCAAATTAAAAATTACAAAATGTTCCAAAATCATCAAAAATACGATTTATCCACTCATTATTCAACCATTCCGCTTGATAAATTGCAAGGGAGACTACTTGATTCTAAACATTAGAGCTTCCTAATTAAAATGTTTTGTGATAAGTCATATAGAAAAATATTTTGTTTAAAAGCAATCTGGATCCACACACAAGTATTCTGAAGAAGATGTTGAAGTTTTTGATTGACAACATGCAATATACATGTACTGTAATCATCTCAATAATCATGGTGTTTGAATCTACTAATTGATTCGTTTCACAATAACATGTTCTGCATATGAACATTTTCTAAATCAAGACAGCCTAATGACAAATAAGTTGAAGTTTTAGGGTATCAATAATCTTCTTTAAAGCCAACGTTTTGTGAATTCTATGCTTTAATTGACACCTTATCTTCAAGATCAACGGCGGCAGTTGTGATTGGAAGGCAGGAGATACTTACTCTTTTGTGACAACTAATCCCACCTCTGATGTTCCCTGGGGTCCTATTTGCCCTCCTCTAAATATGTATAGTTTTACTGGAATTTGAGAATGATCACCATTCGCATATCATATA